GGGGGGGTCTTCGACCTGAAAAATCAGGGGTTAGGATTTGCACCCGGTCGAAAGAAACCTTGCTATCGCAAGAGTAACTCCAGCTAGCTTCGCTAGCTTTCGTGATGAAAGTGAAAGTGACAGTAAGAGTAAATAAGCGCGCATGAGAATGAAGGTAGGTGTTAGTAAATGTGGATGAGAGCGAGAGTGTGTGCGATTGAGAGTGAAAGTGTGTGCGATTGAGAATGGGAGAATGAGTATGAGTGCATGCGAGTCTAAGTGAGAGTAAGTGTGGATGAGAGGAATGAAAGTAAGAATGAATGGGAGTAAGTAGTTAAAGAAAACACTGTATATATATGCATACAATATATATTATATATATTTAATATATATATTTATCGAAAATATATAATTATGATGCATCTTTTTTGATTGTAAATATTGAGGTTTTTCATTGTTGCATAATGATTCATGTATCTTGTGTCCTTGGAAAATTATTTGGTGGTATTGTCTTCAAGATTCGCTTAATTATTATTGTTGATTCCCGATTCATTACGATTATGAGATCATCAATGATTTTGACAATGTGGTCCACCAAAGCCGACGTGGCAAAGACATGCGCCGTTTTGCGCGTTGGGGGATACGGGCAAAAATTGAGAAGATTGAGAACCGTTTTCAAGGCACACCACGAAATTCAAAGGGAAATGGCGATACCATGCAGGCACCCTTGAAATCCGGGTGATTTTTGAACCACAAGCAGTGGTACTGAACTGTACCTGATATGGGCACTGTACCTGGTCTTCGTCCGACAAATCTTTGTAAAAAGCGAAGTCTCGTCTAGTTCTCCACTGCGATCTTCAAGGTACAGTGCGATCTTCGAGGTATCTGAGTCCGAGTCGGAAGGACTTAGCTTCTTGCTCGCTCTCAGAAAGCTCGACTCACAGTCTCCTTGGTGCGAGCCGACCCGAAAAAACTGCTCTGGAGATGTTTGACCATCCTCCATATGGATTAGAACAGCCAGGAGTGGACACATTGAAAGAATCGTCCATTTCCACCAAGCTGCCTTCCTTCTTGAAAGGCATTCCAGAGTCAAAACAGCTTTTGTTTGATGCGCGTCCTGGGGTTGTCGAACTCCTCGTACTGATTCCGGCCAGAATTTCGTTGCACAACAGCTGGTGTTGAAATTTGTGATTCACCACTGGCCCAATTCTTGGAGATCTGTTCTTCCTTTCCATGGGGCATGGGGGGGCCAGGACAACCAAGGATCCGGCACGGTGGTTTCGGTCTCCGAACCAGGTTGGGGGAGGAGGTCTTCGGCCGTGACCCGGTGAAAACAGAGATCGCCATGGCATGCGAGGTCGGCTTCCAAGCGCCATGGGGCCCTTGCGCCGTGTTTTTCCATGTTTTCCCGTTCCAACCATGGGGCCCTTCGATGGATGCTGAAACGACGAAAACCAGGTCAACCGAACTCTTTGAAGGATCGAATGGCAGGGATACGTCTTCAGGTTCTGACGAGATGTTCGGAAGAAGCAGGACACACCGATCGCGTCTCAAACACCCCGTCGTCAAGTCGTCAATGCATCTCTTCCACTCATTCGACCAACAAACTGAGAGGGCCAACAAGGACCTGAAGGAAAACTCAAACCCTTCGCTGGGAGGATCCCCGTTCTAAAACCCCAGCCATACAGCCGTTCTACTCGTTGGGCGCCGACTGCTACCCTCTCTGCGACTGCTTCTTCCCACCCGTCTCGCACCCACTCACGAGACAAATTGCATGCAACCAACTGACGATGTCTCTTCACGGTCGGCCCTGCAGAACCCTCCCACTTACTCAAAAGAGACATTGCGAGTTCCATCGGCGATTCATCCCAAATCAACATCCAGGGCTCTGAATTCAACATGTTCAAATACTCCTGCAGCCTGAGGCGTTGAGAATCTGGTCATCAAAACTTGGGCTTGTGGAGTTCGAGGGGCGATGTGTGCATAAACATCCCCCAAACTGCTCAGTCGAGTGGTCCGAGATCACGTCTGTCACCTCCAATTAGATCTTTCTTTTTCTCTGCCCAAGAGCTGCACCACCTACCCAACCCCAGCCCGGTCTCGGGAATGTGTGGACTCGGACAACTTCAACCTGCCCGGCTTGAACAGTTCGCTGCTCCCGGTCATCGTAGATCATGGTGATTTTGAGCTGTGTGCAGCAGCGGCTGAAAAGCCATGTGTGTGTGTGTGTCTCCTTCCTGCTGTCCAGGGCTATGTGTTATGATGCTGATCTTCAGGCCACGGGCAGGGTGGAAACACCAAGTGCCCCGGCGCCAAACTGATGATGATGCAGGGACGCTGTGCAGATCACACGGTTCAAACTTACTGGAATGCGGTGCCTCTGGGGCCGGAGGTACCACCGAGTCTTAAACAGTATGAAGCACACACACAAGTAAACCAGCACAGTGTAGCTTGAAGTGCTCAAAGCAAAATTCTAACCTCGAGGCCTCCCTGTCCAACCCACTCCGGCACCGATTCGCCCGTCTGTTGCCGCGCAGCTGGGCGGGCTCCGTGTCCACAATCTCCGAGGGGTAGCGGCCGGGCGTGAGGGTCCAGCTGCCACGCGCGTTGTTGCTGACCGAGTCCTCGTCGGGCTCCTCGGAGCTTTCGATTCCACTCCAAAGGCCTGACGAGGGGCGAGTTCGGTTCAGATCAGTCACCCAAGGCCCAAGACCCAAGACCCAAGGCCCAAGACCCGATCTACACTCCCAAGAGCTCTGCAAATCTCTGAAAAGTCAAAATCTCTCACGTTTGCTCACGCCTCCCACACCTCTCCCCCGTTTGCTGGCGTTGGTTCTGAACCCGTGCCGTCTGACGCCTTCACCCATCTCGGCTTGCACCATCACCAATCTTGAGCTCAAGGTCGTCGACGCACCCGGCTCCAAACGGCTCATAATCTGCCCACGCATGGGTCGGCAATTGCTTGGGGGGAAGGATCCCCCGCCTGGTAAGAACTAGGGGCTATATTAATTATAGTGACCCCAAAATAGATAGAAACACAACGGTAATTTCCCTTGTAAAATGTATTGGAAATTGTTTCTATGCCTTTGGGGACCTCTATAAATACATATATATATATATGTATACTTGTATACATTTATATATATATAACTATTATATATTCCTCAAGAGTGACCCTTCAAATTGCTGCGGCCAAACCACGCCATTTGAGTGGCCCCCTGTACGTTGGCACATCGGTATGGTCTTGGTATGCCTTTTTCAAGTTGCGCATGGACCCTTTTTGTCATTGCTTGATGCAACAAATGCCAATTCTGTACCCCCAAACCCTGAAAAGGAAGATCGAGACGTGTCCTCGACGAAACCTCTCTGAACAATCAAGGGGCGAGTTGACAGGCACTGCGCCAATAGTAGCTGTATACGGGCATACTATGTGGCTAAAAAAACCTTTTCAAAAAAAATCCCAGACTCCGCAACAGCAACACATTGCTTGTGTTGTGTTCCAGGGGTGTGTGTGTGTGTGTGTATATATATATGTATGAATATATATATATATATGTCTCTCCGTCTCTGTCTCTGTCTGTGGCTGTGTCTGTCTCTCCTCTGTCGCTCTGTCTTTTTTGTGCACGGTTCTACCTGCACTGACTGTCTCGCTGTCTCTCTGTCTCTCTGTCCGTCCGTCCGTTCGTCCGTCTGTCGGTCCGTCTGTCCGGCTGTCCGTCCGTCCGTCTGGCCGTCCGGATGTATGGATGGATGGATGGATGGATGTATGGATGGATGTGCTGTACGCCTCTGAATATTTATCATATAGGTTTAATGTACACATAGCCACCCCATACACGTGATACTGTAACATGCCCTGGGCCTATCTGTCTTGCAGAATCACCATAGTTTGCAGTGTTATATGAAAATATGCGGATTGTTTTCAAGCGTATGTTGGTCCAGGGAAAGGGCGCCCGAAATAAGCTTGCCACGAAATCGTGGTGAGAAATCCTCGGCACTACAAAGCCCCTAAAGACCTTCTAGAAAGTCAAATATGTTCCGATTCTTTTGAGCCTGTGCAAGAGACCGGCACATTTCCTGCATCTGACCTTTACGAACCTCCACGCAGCGCCCAAAAAGGTGAAGAGAGTCACAATCTAATGGGGACCTTCTAAGGTTAAGATGTGTCTGATGTGAGCCTGTGGAAGATCTCTGCACCTGTCCTCCATCTGAAGAAAACAAAACTGGCACAGGCTCAGACCATCAAACAGCTTCAATGGCTGACCTTCGCAAGACCTTGACAGGTTGAACAAAAAAATGAAACATATGAGAACATTGGGTCTTGAGAGGTGCCCAAGGCCATGGTGAAACCCCTGGTTTTGTGAAGGTCGAGAAGCAATTTGGTATTGAGTTGCATTCATCGGGCAATTGGCCTTGCTTCAGGCCTTCCCTGTCAAATTAAAATGTCATCTCCGCCCTGATTTGCAGTCAACACGATGGGATTGCATGTCTTCTGCCTTCTGCTGCTGCTTCCTGTCTTTCAGAACCGACACCTTTGAAAACGTACGTCTGCCGGGGGTTATGTACAGTACGTAATTGCTTACGCGTGCTACGTGTGGTCAAAGGTGGCGCGGTCAATCGCCTGCGTGGCACGCACGGTCAAATCATCCGCGGACGCGGACCCAGGCATGAAGGGCAGAGCAATCTCCAAGAAGATCGCCTCAAAGGGGGCCCACAGCGAGTTCGACGGTGGAATGGCTCCGCGTTCGCAGGAAACGGCGGCGGGCGGGCGGCCTCCCCGGTTCTGGTTGAAGTTGGAAAATGATGGAAAACAGGTAAGATCTTCCAAGCCATGCTCCTCTTATACGATGGACCCAAGGCCAACGAAATTGGCGAACGTAGAAACTCAGAAGCTCCTTTCAGTAGATGCCGCAAAATGCATGTCAAGTTATATAATGGACACCAGCAAAATGCCTGGCGGGTTGGGGGGGAACAGTCATATGGAGGATGGTTACCAGTGGTGCTTCCCTCGCCAAGGTTGTATGAAAAGTCTTCCCCACTTCAAAAGGCAGGAGCTGCAGGAGCTCTTCCATCAAGGAGGACGTGTCTTCACTTCAAGCCCTGGCGCATCCAAGATCACTCGATCCCTGACACACTTGGAAAATATTGGCAGCACGTCTCCTTACCCCGAAAGGGTGTACCCGAAAAGAACCGAAAAAAAAAAAAAAAAGCTTACATCACGGCAAAAACTAGGACCTTTCGCCTCCCCCACACATGAACCTGCCAAAACCGGCCCACTCCCCGACCAAATCAGAAAAACTACACGGCCCTCCACTTCCACTCCTTTGCAAGCGTGAGGTGCGTTCAACACGTGGGCGTAGGCGGAGCGGTCCAAGTGTTGCAGGCTGGGCTGGCCGATCAGCTGGCGGATGTTGAGCGGCGAAGGGATCTGGAAGTAGTCGTCTGAGATCACCGGCGCCACGAAGCAGTTCGCCATGAAACGCACCTCCCGGAGATGGGACACGACTGGGTCGTCCGGTTGGGGGAGGATGGCACAGTCCAACGGAGGGGTCTAAGGGTGGGGTGGGGTCTCGGATGCGGGTTTCCCGCCAAAGTGACACAGTGAGACTGACCATGAAACCCGATGTGTTGACCGAACTCATTACTGCCATCGGGGAATGATACTACTATCTTAGTTCTATGTTGATTTGGCCAACCCTTTTGTTTGCCAAAGAATGGTTCTTTGATGTTCTTCGGGCTCCAGTCCAGCCCGGGCCCGGCTTGGTTGGAAAAAGGTCGTCGTAGATTCAGGGAGGTTGAGCCTGCATCGAGACACCAGGAAGAATGGCAAGCAAATCATTGAATCAGATCGATTCAGAACAGGGTCTAGCCATAAATGCCACTATATTAATATGTTTCCCCGATGCGAGGCGCGCTGCCTTTCATTGCATGTCATTGATTGCCCTTGAATTCCTGTCATCGTGTGCCCCAGTCATGCAGTCTGCTAGATATCTTCCAGCGATATTTCATAAACGCACATGCCAAGTGGCACGCATTGACATTCACAAGTGGGGGGCCAGAACTCCCATCACCTGTGGGCTCTTAAATCACCTGAAGAAGGAGGGAGAGCTCCCGGAAAAATTCCACTAACATCCCCCACAGATTGCTGCCAAACACCAAAGGCTCATAGTTTCAGTGCATTGCTGGTGGTTGGCTTTTGAGGTCCATGCAAGCTCCGACCATGGACGTCGGAGTCGTCACTGACGTGTGACGTGGAGCGAAAACCCCCTGCTTGGTATTCGGAACATGGACGTCCCTTCGGGGCCATGTTCCACTTCCATTGTTATTTCAGGGAGTGCACCCCTATAAGTCCAGTTAGACCCCGTAAAACCTGGGCCCTTTCCTCCTTGAGTGATGGTTTTTGGTACGACAAACTCAAGTGTTTCATGACGTCAGTTCCTGACCTCTAGGGTATCATGATGAAATGTTGAAGGACGTTGAAGTATGTTTCCACCTGGGAGCTCATCATCGCCTGCATGATCCACTGCGCCAGCTGCGGTGATGACAAACATCCACCGGTGCAGACCAAGATCACATGCATCTTGTCTTGGCCATGGCCTGCCAGAAACGCGACAGGACATGCGTTTGCAACGCAAAAAGCAAGAAGAACATAGAAAAGAAAGTGCTTGTCCCACGGATATGACCTATGTATGAATGCTATGTCAGCACCACAGAAAGGGTGGTTGGTGAAGGTCCCTCCAATAACCACCCTTTCCATGGTGCTGGATGGTGCTGGTGAAGGTGTGTGCGCGCGTTTCTCTAGGTGGGAGGCATCACAGTCCCAAACTCAATGCTTCCACAGGCGTTCGACAGCCCAAACTTGATGCTCCACTGACGCGTGGCAGGTGTGCTGAGCTGGGTTCGCTTGTTCATCGAAGAGCCCAGTTGGAGCTGGTTTCATGCGGGTTGCTCCAAAAAACATAGCAAGAACAAGCTAGTGGAATCAGCCTGCGACTGGTCTCAAGATCCATGGTTCCCGATCAAGGCACAAACTCGCCTGAAAACCAAAAAGAAGTCCAGGGGGGTTCCCTGTGACGATGTATGGTGCGGATATGCCCCAGACCAATAGTGGTGGAATGTGGTGGATGATGCTTGGGGACCAAACTGCCAAGAATTGTGGTGTTTAATTGCGTAATGGTTGAGAGAAGTTGTCGTCCCCTCATATGCTATGCTACTCTCGTAGCTAACATGTGGATGCCTAGTTAGTTGCCTCATGTATGTCTTTTGAAAAGGACAAGGCTGGAAAACTCCGACCCAACACGGAAGTGGATGGCACCCCCATCGTCGTTGTATTCGGTAGACAGGATATGGCAGCATGGTCGTCCACATCACCATGCGATGTATTCGTCCCAGTGTCGATCGATGACTCCACCGATGACTCCAAAGCGACGACCCTCGGATCGAGTTTTTCGTGGCCTGCATGGGGGAGGTGGTGAGAGGAGGAGGAGAGCACCACCGGCAGCGATTCCTGAAGAAAAAGGATCTGATGGACAAAAACCGTGCGAGCACGCGGTTTTCTGGGACTTCAAGCAGAGAAGCCAATAAAGGTGACGCCACTGATACAATTGGACCAAGAACCAAAATCACTAAAACATGCGAACACTTATTTGGTTGCATGGTCGGCCCCATGTCCCTCCGTGGTTAACTTTTAACAAAAAGAAGGAGCGGAAACATTGACGACCACAACACCTACAGTAGCAGTAGTAGTAGTAGCCTCAGAAGACTTATTCAGAATTGGGGGACCCACTGCCCGATCGGACTGAGCCTCTGCACGAAGCCTCTGCTCTTAGAGTTTGGTAGACCCAAGCAGGTCGGAAGAATGTAAGTGGAAATGTTGAAAAGGAAGCTTGCTCTTTTTCAGCTGTCCAATTTTGTCCTCTGGCCTGCTGGAGCATAGGGCATGCAAATGATGGCCTACAGTCTGGGTGGGGTGGCTCAACGAAGATGGCTCCCGCCTCCACAACCAAAAACATCGAGGACACTAGCCTAACAATAACAAGCCACAGCACCGCATCAACATCTTCAACAGCGATCTGCCAGCTGCTACATCAGGAACCTTCTTCTGAAAGGCCAATCATTGCTCAAGAAATCTTAATCTTTTGGGGCATCTTCCTTTCTAAGCGGCGTACCAGGTGTACCATCCCAAAACCCAGTAAGGACAAAAAAATCCTGATATTTGTGCCTGCAGTGTTCTGGCCGGCCATATTTCTTTATGTATACTCTTCGTTGCCCAACCCCTCTCCACAAGAACAACGAAAAGCAGCTGCAATGGCTCACAAATAGGGCACCGTCTGTACCGATCCAGCTTGGCATTGAGACGTTCTGAACCGAATCTCCTCGAATCCGTGGAGTGTTGTGTACGACGCAAACGTACGACGCAAACAGGCCAAACCGGCCCAGTGTCCCTTGAGCCCATGATCATCGGCGTGATCAGCTTCGCCAAAATGTATCCCGTAGAGATGGCCTCGGAGAGATGCTGCGTTTTTGCTCGGGGGAGCATGCCTTTAGATCTTTAGGGCGTTTGCTTTGCCACTGAGAAAGAATGTCCCAAACGCTCCAAACAGCCTCTGGTCCCTCAAAACCTTGGATTTGAGACCCCGGCCCCTAATTAGGAGGGTCCATGAGCGTGTGTGACATCTAGACCGAATGTCGGCTGAGGATGGTTGAGGTGTCTTTGGGCCTCCATGTTGACCGGATCAGCCAAGATATAGCAGTCCGTCTTCTCCGAGCTCACTGGAAGCTTCACCTCAGCCAAGCAAGTCTGTGGGCGTTTTCGTGGGGAACGGAACCGAAGCGAGGGCAACGAAACAAGTGTAAAATTATCAGGCTACTGGTTGCGGAACTGCAGGTTCCTGATCAGTGATGAAGTACTCGAGCAGGAATTGAACTTTCGCCCCAAGCGTGTGTGTGTGTGTGTGCGTGTGCGTATACATATATATATATATCTCTGTGTGTGTGTGTGGTGATGGATTCTAATGGATGAGCAGGGAAAAACATTAACAACAAAGGATTGCTCCAAGACTCCGCTGGCTCCAAGACTGGTGGAATCAACCCGCCCACCAGCTTGATGAGCTGCGGAGGAGGGAAAAAAAAGACGCCCTCCACCCCAACCTACCTGATCCCATGGTTGGGACTTCCAGAAGAATGGCCCCGAGCTGGAAGAAAGAGCTCCGGACTTCCCAATCGGCCCAGTTCACATAGGTGTTGGTCAACTGGTTGATGATGTAGTTCAAACCATCCCAAGAGAAGTCCTCGAACATCTGTCGAGTCAGGTGTCTATGTGGAAGGCTTTATACGCTTTATATTATTCTTAGTGTGACAGCTGTTTCTGTCAGGTGAGACTCCTTTGCAAATCTGAGGGGTGTTCAACAAACTCAACTGGGAATGCCGAACCCTGAGTCCTGAAGATGATAACCCTTCTTGCTTGTTCACTTTTGAGGAGAATCGCTGAAATGGCAGCGGAACCAAACAGCATTTAGACAGCTGAAAAACTGTGACGATGATGTGTATCTACAGTAAGTCGTAAGTCTTGCCATCCCCCAGGATCACGAGGGCAGCAACATGCAGGATCTTCTTCCATCTGTTCCATGCAAATCACTCCACCCAATTGTTTTCAATTCATGTTGACTCTGTCACAACTAGACCCAGAACCCATCCTTTGACGCGACCGAACACACTGCCCAGCCCTCCAGTCCTGGCTGACTGGAAGGGTCTTGACGGTGCTCAACCAGTGCAGGGTGTCTTTCACCTCCAACATGCCAAAGCCATAGCTGGCAAAGTCACCTGAGTGTTCGGAGGCAGATCGGAAGCGGGGGCGATCGACCAAGAACCAGATAACTGTCTTGCGAAGGGTGAGAATTCTTGAGGTGTGAGTGCTTGCGCAACAAATCAGTCAGGCTTCTCAAACATCCCTTGCTACCCATTCGCAGCAGGTAATTTTTTATAGAGGGTGCTAAAATGATCTAAAATGGTTGAAGTGGATGCGAATCCGAAATGTCTGACATAGACCCCCACATGGATCCCAAGCAAACCCCGTTGAAAGCGAGCACACAGGAGGCGTTTCTAGGTGAGCCGCCAATGTCCGGGATGAGTTTCTGATAACGTTGGATGAACTGCTCATCTGGAAGCTCAAAGCCTGGCCATGGTCGCCCGCTCGGGGCAAAAACACGGCCTTTTGTTCGATCAGGCAGGGCACGACTGAGTGTTACTACCTGCGGCAAAGGGTCAAACCAAAACAGGAAGAGGTGACGAAAGAAATGGGCTGTGCTAGAATCTGCTAGCCATTCCCTGCCAGTGCCCCAGCCAACCCGCCTGGGAAGCTCAACAGCACTGTGTCCACTTTCTCCAGCCTTGCCACCACCATCTCCCCCATGCACCACTTCCGTGTCAAGATCCGGCTGGAGCCCAACCTCAGAACGGGGCAGTCTCCAGCCCCAAAAGAGGCGCGGCCCAGGATGGTCCAGGAAATTGGGAAGTTCCCAGAATGTGTCTTTAAAGGAAGGGCCACGGAAGATTAAATAACAGCTTTAACGGTTTACACTTTAAACCAAAATAGCCCTACGCTGGCGAACCTACCCTGGATTCATCCGACTAGACTAGGCAACGGATGTCAAAGCCGGGCAGACGGCTCCTAATATTTCCTGAGTATTTCTACTGAGTATAGAGCCGAGAATGAACGACCTTGAGATCTTCAGGCACGAAGGTGGTCTCAGTCCATCTACGTGACCAGGAAGGATTGGTGATTGAACATGGACCCCTGACTCATGACTCTCCACCATTCAACGCCCTTGTAACTAACATACTAGTTCGACTCTTTTTCAGGCGTCCGTTCCGGTTCTTTTCGGTCATGTTCACTGAAAGTTTCAGCTGTGACGCAGTGGCCAGGCCCCCCACCCGAGGCCCAAACGAAGGACACCCGGACCGAAAAGGAACCCCTCCCTTGGCTCAAAAATCAACCCGCGCCACCAAGAAAAAACGGCACACCGGCACACCCACCACAGCACTTAACCCCAAAAATGCCACGTGCGCATTGAGGCGCGTGTCCCCTTTCCGAGCGGCACGACCAGGGTCTTCACGTCGTGGCTCACGTAGGCGAAGAGCTGAGTGAGGTCCGTGAGATTGTCCGAGTCCAAAAAGGCCGTGAAGGACGGGCCCCGGTGGAGCAACTCCTCGGCTTCGCGCGCGCGCGGACGTGGCGCGCGGGAACGTGGCGCGCGGCCAACGGGGCGCGCGGGGTTGGGCTGCGGGTCGGCGGGAAAGGCAGTGCTGGGTGCAGTTGAAAAGGGACCGGGGGACGACGAGAAGATGGGAGGGAAGCTGAGAAGAGAACATTGCTTTGTTGAAGATCTGGGTTAGGGATGTGTAGTCCGGATGGTTCCGGACTTCATGCCAGTTGGCCAGACTGAGTTTTCATTATTGCTGCCTTTTCTCCCTGTATGCTTGACATATTTATTGCCATTTCTCCTTCCATTTCTTGATCTAGGACTACGCCATCAATAGTCTGTCATCTGCATAATCCATTTTTGAACACATGATTTTTACCCGTGTTTTTCTTCAACCGCAACTCTGTTTCCTTATCTGGAATTACAAAACTTATCTGAATTAATGTCTTTTATCGGTTATTCTATTTGTGTATTCTTTATGGATCTTAAATGAAGGTTACAAGTAGAACAGTTCACCATCCAAACAGATCTACGCAAGTTGGTCTTGGTCGAAGGCCTTTCTGCATGTACTTCGTATGCATCGCTAGACAGTCTGGGCTAGACCGCTAGCAGCTAACTGCCGGGTTTACCCGGCAGAAGTTCGGACTCCCTCCTATCATCTCCTATCAAGTAATCCTTTTTCTCGAGTGGAGAAACTCCCGTTCCTCCGCCGCGGCCGCGACACTGGTTCTACAAGGCTCCATCTTCAGGAGCCGGGCCCAAGAGGCTGTGGAGGCCTTGTGGTGGCAAAGGAAGAAGTGAAATCCTCGGATTGCACGAGGCGACCGAGGGGTTTGGAACGATTTTCACCTGGAGGGATTTGGGTGAGACGGGAAGGAGGGTGGAGAAGAAGTCTGAATGCTGTAGCTGCTAGCGAAAACATCACTGAGGGAGAGGGTGCACAGTCTGTGGACGACGAGATGAAACAAGGTTTCTCCTGCCCTGCCTGCCTGCGAGAAATCTTCCGGAGAAGAATGATGAAGCAACGGCCAAAAAGAATCTTCAGCCCTCCCAGACAGGTTGCGGATGGCTTTGGTGAGGTCGGTGAGGTTTTTGGCGTGGTCAATCAGGTTTCCTATCGTTTTCACCGCCCTACCCAAAGGACGCCTCCGACCGTCCTGATCCGAGCGGATGATCATGGACGTGACCGAGCGGATGGTGGCTGAGAGCGGATGGTCCACTCTCAGGCATGCCCAAAAACCATCGAAACGTGAACAAAATCCTTTTCCACGAAAAAAAAACACACTTCTTAGTTGTGAACTCCCAAAACAAATCGCCAATCCAGGCAATCCACAACCACACTTTAATCTGTTCCAATCTGCAATTCCAACCCGCCTGATAGCTTGAACGACGACACAAGGGGCAGCATCTCTGATAGAGGGGGTGGACCAATTATGACAACAGCCCAACCCATCAATCCACAATCCGTGGGATGGATTAAGGATAATTTCAGCTTCACCTGCACAGCAAATCTAGTGGGGCTGGTTGAATGACCGTCCAACACCCCCAAAAGAAATACGACACAATCACACTGATATGTCCCATGGTGGAAGTGCATATTGGTGCATTCCTTGGCCCTGGCATGCCCTGGCCAACTTTTTGGTGAGGAATTGCTCCAAACCCTTGATGCCTCTGGCATTTCAACAAGCATCGCAACAAGCATGCGTTTGTGGAACAGTTTAACTTGGTAGATAAAATCAGGTTTCTGGCAAACCCCCTCTTCCACTTCCATAATATTGCCTCAGAACGACCCGAATTGAGATCATCCCCGATCGACAAGCATCTCTTGTGAAGTTTGGACAGGATGTGGCGTGCAGCCGACTGGGCCGCCGCCCAGATGATGGTCACAATCATGCAGGCGGCACAAGCTGTGCAAATGATCATTGTCACCTGGTTGGAGGCCCAAGGGAGGCCGAGGCCATCAGCTTTTCGCACGATACTGCGAGCATTTTTACCGAAGCTGTGCAAGCAAATGTGCAATCCATTTGTAGATACCTCCCCAGGAGGCTCATGAAGGAAAGGAAGTGAGAGATGTGGATGGCTTTGCCTTGGAAAAGGAGCGCTTTACAAACTTTGGGTCCTTTTGACAGGTGACAGTTTCTCTCTCTCTCTCTCTCTCTTTCCTACCCAAAGTTTTACCATCCATTTACATCCATTTACCAAGTTATATAAATGCCACGAGTGTTCGACCCAGTGCGCTTCTGACCGGATCAAACAGAAACGCCTCTTCGATAACAGGAAGCACATGGACACAAACAACAATGCCCCTTTGGGAATAGAGGGGTCGGTTTGGTACCATATTCTCCTATATTGGTTGTACACATGCGGGCATCCCCTCTACTATATAATCAACCAACCAAAAGTGAAAAGGCCGACTATGTACACAGCTTCAGTTTCTGCACAGCTTAGGGTTGAGGTCAATGGTCAATGCTTGGTTTGTTGGAAAGGCGGTCGGGCTACGGGCAAACCGGTTTGTTTCCTTTGCAGGAGGTTCCCCACAAAGGAAAGCCCGGCAGTTTGCCACACCTCTGCCAGTCGTCCCTCCAACGAGCGAGGGCCGACCCTCATCACAGCCCGAAAAGGACCAACGCGCACAACGCGCACAACGCGCACAACGGCCCCGCCAGTTCCAAGGCCTCATAAGGGGAGGTGTTCGGGGTAGTGTGCAGGCAGATACCATGATTCTGGCCCATCTAAGCACTGCATGAAAACAGCGAACAAGTTTGCTGTCACCTTACCTGCTCCTGCACATCCGTCACGGCAAGCGCGCCCATCTGCAAGATCAACAGCAAAGCCATATGCACCACCATATCCACCTGAAGCGTCCAACTCTGCTGAGCTCACTGAAGCATGATCGAACATCTCAACAAGTACCGTCTCCAGCGAAGCACCGAAAATGCGAAGAACGACATGAAGGAACGACTCCTTGACGGAACCAATCAATGGAAGACTTACCGTAAAGCATGACGATGCGCGTTCAGACTGTGCATGCCCCAAACGAAATTATAGGACCGGATAACCCCACATGTTCCCCTCAACAACTTCACCAGACACAGGAGCGGACAACTGGTGGCTGGCAATTGCTTGGTGGCAGTTGGTTGGCGGCAATTGGTTGGTGACAATTGGTTGGTGACAGTTGGTTGCTGACAATTGGTTGGTGACAGTTGGCTGGTAGCAAGTGGTAGGTGACAATTGGTTGATGACAATTGGTTGGTGACAATTGGTTGGTAGCAATTGGTGGGTGACAATTGCTTGGTAGCAATTGGTTGCTGACAATTGGTGGGTGGCAATTGGTTGGTGACAATTGGTTGGTTGCAATTGGTTGGTGAGGAGCGAGGAGGAGGGCGGAGGAAGGAGCGGATACCACACTAAAAACAAAAACCCCACGCATCAGTGTGGGGAAAAAGGGCACATCCTCAAAACCACCACAGCATGATCTTCAAGGTCTTTCGTCCTCGGCCGCCTGCCTGGGTGCCTAGCACCGATCGCCAGGGCTTGCAGTAGGCGACGCTCCCGAAGCTCACCACCAGCCTCGGCGCTTGCGCAGCGTGGCCTGGTGGAGAGCCGGATCCGTGGCTCGGTTGCCCGCTTAAAAGCGAAGAGAAGGGTCCGGTGGGAGCGAAGGGTTCGGGAAGTGACCAGATCTGTGGGTCATCTGGGGTGATAATTGCTCATCTTCTTTGGGAGATCAGTGATGATCACGCAAGATTCATCTCAAATAGATCGAACATGGCATGTCCTGCGACACTTGCCACAGTCGCTGATGGGCGTCCCATTTGATCCGAGAGGCGCCTTACAGGATCCTCTTGCTGGCAATCCTTGCCGGATCTCTTCCCTCAACAAGTGTCTAAGTCTAAACGGAAAGATGGCCTCATCCTGCCCCATGACCCGCCAAGCGACAAGAAGGCCATGAGAAAAAGACTTCCTGAGAAGGAGCGGTTCTCGGTGAAGCCTAGCAGCCCTATTGATTCACGATGTCTGGGAAACAGTGGCGAAAACCACCCGAGAGCCCCGAAAACCACGGCGGTCTCCGAAGACAAATCCTGAACACCTAGGGCCTGGGCCGGCGGCCTAGGGTGGTTTTTGGGGGGGGGCCTTCTGGGGGGGACACACAAAAAAAAAGGCTTAGCCCACCAGGCGGCCAGAGGCGGAAGGCAACAAGGGCGCCATCACAATGAGCACGTTCCGCAGCAGGAAGAGCACCGTGAAAATCTCCTGAACATGGAGGGGGTGTGGCCGGCCGTTTCGGAGCACAGAAGGATGGCACAGAAGGTCGGATAGAAAAACCATCACGTTTGACCCGAGCTGTGGGACCGAAAGTCTCTTGTGGCTGTCGATCAGCGGTTCTACAGGACCTTCGACCGGAGGTGTCCGGCGTGAACGGTGCGCGGCCTGCCCGGGGTTGAAGCGCATCACCAGGAAGGAGCAGGCACCTCGGGCCGGAGTCCAACGCGGCGGCCTGGGTGGGTTTGGGAGCTCCCACCATGCCGGAAGGAAGGACTCCCCAAAGCAGCTCTCCATGAAATTCAATACATCTGTAACGGGGAAGAGCTGGGAAGAGGTGCCACCAAAGAACCTCTTTGATCGTTTGATGCACACCTGGGATGCATCCACCATAGATACCAACAGAAAACACGATTTGCACTATGCGCCTGCAGTGATGCGGGACCTTTGTGCGTCAACACTTTGACTTGCTATCCAAATCTATCTAGACCACCCAAACAAGGACCTATGCCTAAGAATGTCCAAACGCACTACTAAGAGAGGAATTCTTACTCAAACACCACCATTGCTACCTGTACCCGAGTCTAGTTCTTCGCCTCTCCAACCTCCCTCTATTCCTCTCGGTCACGGACAAAATGGACGTCCGCAGCCACCATGCGCTTGGGGAGCTCGATAAGGATGACCCAAATGCTGATGGCCAAATAGCTCCTTGCAGAGCGCCATCCGGTTTAAGTAGGCCTCTACGGTGTCAACCCTACTGGCAGGTTGAAACATAGCTTTGAGGAACACACATTCTTTAAATAAACAAACCCGCAAAAGGACCAGGAAGCTCCATGGCCCCATGGCTTGCAAAAGCTCACAACTGAAGTCGTACGTGCCGAGCACCATGGGATGAGGCCAAAATCCTCGCGATGGTCGTTCCTGTAGCCTTTCAATGAAACATCAAGAAACACATCACCGCACCAGTGCAACGCATCAACCACCCTGGGGCCTCAAGGGCTCAATGAGTGGAATATCCCATTCGCTGAAGCAATTCTACGGTGTTCAGTTCGCCCATTGCAGTGTTCCGTTCAGCCCACCGTCCCCTTTCTCGCCCCTGGTGCAATGGAGGATCAGCGGCAGCAGGCAAACCACACCGCCGATGAGGCATAAGCTGAGGTGAGATCCAGAGAAGTCGCAAAGCACCTCAGTAGGTCAGTGGGTCTCTGCACAGATCCCACTCCGCGAAGATGAGGCTCCGCTGGGGGTGTTGGTGAGTTCTTTCAAAGCTCCATGAGCTTGCGAAGTTTGAGGAGCTTTGAAACTTAGAAGGAAGTCCTTCCATGCGAAGCTTCAAATACCTGACCCTCAACCCGCTGATTGCATCAAGGGCAAAATCAGAGGTGATCGAATCTCCCCAGGGGGGTACTGGCAAAAGAGACCACTGCAAGCTGAAGAAGTTGTCAAAGGCGCGCTGTGCGAGTCTTGCAGGGTTCTCAAGCCATTCGGATGCAGGTTGCAGCGGAAAGGCTTCAAGAAGGAGGAGCATAAGGTGATGAAGAAGATCAATGAGAATAGGCCTTGGTTTGAGAACCGGCTTCTCTCTCACACCTCCCAGCCACTCACAAAACATCTAGAAAAAGGAAGCCAGCTTGGCCTGGTCCAGTATTCTTTGTTTCTGCCCGTACATTGATGCAGCAATCGAAGGTCATCCAACATAACTCCCCAAGCGCTCCAACCCCCGCGACTGACGCACTCAAAGAACACATTTTGGATGACCCCTTGTCTCACAGGGTCACTGGGACGATCTGGATCAGATCAAACATCCGGCAGACGGCACGAGGGGCAGTGGAAATCCACACCCGCAGCCAAAGTTTGGAGGCATTCAAACAGGATTGGTCCAACTTTGTTGTCCCAAAATGGCCAGATTTCAACCGTCCACTCCACAATGTCCACAGTTCCGAACCTGCTCCACGGCAGTTCGGCGGACGTCCGGCGCACCCATGGATGGGCGGTCGACTTGTTCTCCAAGCAGCCCAAGGTCTTCCAAAGCAAAGAGAGTTTGAGATCCCTACCTCCTTAGTGCAGGATGTGGCATGCAATTCAATGGGACCAATTTGTCCACACGTGCCTCCTCCCGCTCACACCCGAACAAAAGTGCACTTTAGTAACAAGCTGGCTTTTCATGGCTTTTCCAACTATGGAACGGCGCTGTCCCTGTCAAATCTGGGCATGGACAACAAGTTCCCTAAGCAGCATCAGGAAAGCAATGACTACACTCTGTCTTCATGGACAAGTTCTCCGGCATGCCCAGGAAAGAAAATCCTCGTGTGCATTGGCACCAGTGGCCCCACAGGTCGGATGCAATTCTTGGGAGATCACTGCCGGGTCTCTTTGTGCTCCGGGTCACAGATCTGTTGCTCTGCGCTAGCAGGCGCCTGCAGTCGAGCTTCGACCTGCCTTCCACATGATGTAGACCACGTTGACGTGAGCCAAAATGGGACCCACGAGGAAGAAGAAGGGCAGCAGTAAGGATCGGATCCTGACGACGAAACGTCCAACAGTCTGAGCGTCGTCGTCGCCAAACACCAGTGGCCCGGTGGCCATGGTGCTCAGCCCAACGGAGTGGACTTCATGGGAGCGTCGGTGAGTGGGGACGTCACGTGATTAAAGCAGCAAGCCAATGCAGGTGGGCAAAGGATCCAGTCACTGCTAGCTAACCGATGGTTCCACGATTAGATTCGAGAAGTTAGAGGCCCGGGTTTCCTTGTAGTGGGATTCAGGGATCCACGGGGGGGGGGCAACAAGCTCTGCGGAAGCGTGCTTCCCAGTTGAGTTCGATCCGACAAGCGATCAACAAAACAATCACTTGCAAGTTGCAAGCATATCACTCGCAAACCTGCAAGTCAATGAAGGTTTCTTTCCCACCCAACAGGTGGAAGGTAGCTAGATTTTAAAGGACACATGACATATATGACATATAACCCATCCTATTGCGACCTCTGCTGGACGGCATCAGCCAGTGCCTGGCCAGTGGCCCTGGCCGAGAAATACCAGAACAAACAACAAACTGTGACACTGACAACACACAATGCGGGGGACGGTGGCATCTATTCTCCAAGAGTACTTCAGCCCCACCCACCGGGAGCTCCAGCGCTCTCACTCCATCCACGACGCGGCGTTCGAGTACTCGTTCTCGCGTTCCGAGCGTCAGGTACTCGAGCTCGGGCGTGACGCGGGTGACGCAGCCCAGCACGTTGATGGAGCTCAGGAGCGCATCCAGGGAGATGACGTCGAAGATGTCCAACAACACTTGGAAAGGTTCCTTAGGAGTTTTGTTGGGTTGAGTGAAAATTCCCCAAGAAACGGTGAACCAACAATTCCCAAAGTCAGGTCGTTGATTCTGTTCAAGATTCCATTTTTAAGGGGATCCAAAAAATATCACATGCACTTGGATCACAAAAGAAGATGTTAACTTGGAAAGGTTCCTAAGAAGTTGGGGCGTGCTTTTCAAACCAACTAAGTGCTCAAAAGCCCGTCCAATTCCACCAAAGAGTTGGGAAGATGGGACTCACTGAGAAGGGGGTTCCCCGTGACAGCTTCATGCTCACCAAACCCTCCAAGGCGAGTCAAGTCCATGCCAGGCGATGTTTTCCCCTAAAACCCATTCCTTGAGACCAACTCTCCCTGAACATTAAAAAAAAAAAACGGTGGATGCTATGGACGTTCGTGGCAGGGAAAATCGTACCTCAGTTCCCCAAACCGGCTGGATATTGCACTCCTAAGAATAATCATGGAAGTGGATGGCACCCCCTCCCCCCTGTTTGGCATTCGGATTTCATGGTCTTCCTTTCGTGGCCATGACATCCACGTAAAATGGTCACGACCGGGAAGGGGGTATCTCCTCTATTCATCAATCAGATCAAGGCAGATCAATAGCAAAAGGCAAACATAGTCGGTCCGGTCTTCTCTCAGCGTCAGCCCAGTTGATCTGCAACTGCTGCATGATCCCAAAGAGCTGAGCACAAGTCACCAATTGGCCTGGGACATTCTTCGGCCAACAGCGACCGGCTCCCCAAAACTGACAGAGGCGTTGGGGAAGCCATCGACATGGGTGGTGACCCCTAGTGGTTGTTCGTGGACAAATAGAGTGCTTGGGAGTGCCCAGAGTCCTTGAGGGTGGAGACTTTCTTTGTTAATGTGAGGTTCGTAAATAGTACAACCATCATAAGTGTGTTGGAGAATAAATCTGTGGACCTAGAGAAAATATCCAACAAGCCTGGCCCTAAGCTTCGCTTGACTGCTGCAAAATGTCATGTTTCAATGATCTCCAATGAGAGGGTATATATATAATTAAAGTAGACCTAAGGTACCATGCTCCCTGTACTTTCAGCAGAACCTAGAGCTACCCAGGAAGGAAGGGTACTGAAAACCTGTTCCTTCCAACCGTCCCTTTTTGCACCATGCTTCTTGGACTTCTAAGCTAGAAGCATGTGGGGCCGGAGGCAAAAAGAAGATTGTAAAGCAAAAGTGTTCATCTCCGATTCATCCGTTATAAACATATTACAGTATCCATTTGAGCGGCACCTACAAGCTTGATGAAGGGACCCCCAAAAAGAAAGAAAAAACACCCTGAACACAGGGCCGCCCCCTCACAGTGGTTTCAGAGTAAATGGCACAACCACGGACCCCAATCTAAAAGACATTTTGGTGGTTGTGCAATGAAACCACAGTTTAAAAAAAATGAAATCCGGTCAACACCCTCGATCTCCACCACTCGATGTCCAGCTCCACCCGAAGCCAAGCTGCCAATGCTCAACGCGGCCGTAAAGAGCGCGCTGCGCTGGTTGCCGTTGGATTGATCCGAGATCACCTGAGGTCTCGTCCCTTCGTGGTGACGGACGTCTCTTCGGTGCACGTCTCGAACTCTCCTCTTTGCCACTTGGCACCGTCGAAATTCAGAATCAGACTCTCCGGAGGTGAGGTGATTCGATCTGGGTCCATCAGGTGTTGAGACGAGACTTCGACTCACTCGCTCAAACATGGTCCTGCTTCAATGGGAGTTCGCTGGCGGTTCGATCATGTCGAGCCACCTTTTTGGACCTTTCGGGACATTTCTGGGCCAGGCGTCTCGTGCTGGAAGCGATATCTGCATCGGTGGTGCTCTTCTGGGGGGGAGCACTCCACTCGAAGAAACTCGCTAAATGGCAAGGCTGGGCACTGTCGTCTTATAGCATATTAGTATTTGTCTTGGCGATTCACTTCCCTTCAATGACCGTGGGAAGGACTGCCCTCAGTAGGACACAGCACCAACCACATCGACGGCCAATGCCAAGTCACCAGCAGAACATGCAAACCACCGGTGCTGATGATCACCATACTGCCAAAAACCACGAGCAAAAGGTAATCTCCACCGGTACAAGCTTGGCACTCGCCACCCTTGGGCTGCAGCTGGTCCAAGCACTGGCTACCTTGCATGCGCAGCGTGGGCGCGCCAGCGTGCACACCGGAAGGCAAGACTTCTAAGAAACATCGAGAAAAGCTTGTGAGTGGGACGTTTGCTGCCTCCAATTCCAAGTCGCCCGAACCTCACTGAATCACGAGGCCAACGATGTGAGTCATGTCTCAGAATCTCGGCATGACATGACAACCCGAGAAGGGCTTGACATGACATTCGCTTGTGGGACTGGGGATTGGTGAGGAGTGGAAGCGAGTCATAAACAGAGTTGAGCCACAACTCCTTGATGTCTCACCAAGTTTGGGCGAACGCAAACCGGCTCACATGCTTTCAGGCCCACAAGCGATTTTACCTTGTGGCTTTTCAACTATATCAAAAATGAGCTGAACATCCAACCTTACTCCGAAATCTCCTCACTGCGATTGAGCCACACCCAATGCTCGTTGGGTCCCGACCAGCTGCACAGATGCCCGGCGGGCCACCGGGGCAGCGCTCCGGTTGTCCGAAGCATTTGTAGACCATGCCGGGCTCCTCCTGGAAGCCACTGAGAGTTTTCTTCGCGGTGGAGGGGGTTTGCTGAGATCAGGGCCAGCTGGGGATCTTCAATGACCGATTCTTTTCTGATCCGACCAGCTCCCGTGGAGGCTGGTTCTTTTTTCTTCAGGTAAAATAACTGGTGAACAAACCTCAGCCACATGTCTTCTGGATCGAACGCAAACCCCCACAGCTTCGACCCACTTCCTAACTTTCAGGGTGGTGAAGCTGCATTTTCCTCTCCAACAGATCGAAGCAGTTGCTTGAACTGGTTGTTGGGAGCCCTGCCCTTGTGAGTCGCAGATTTCTGGAGATGTCGCAAGAGCGCAGCTCTCTGGTACCTGCAGAAATCCTGACACAATGGTCTTGGTAACTTCTTGTGATGCCATTCTCAAAGTGCCACAGTTTCCCTGGCTGAGTTCAATTCCTTCACCACCGCCACCTTCCAAACTCGTTTGCAAACTCCGATGTGCCGCTGGACCAGGGTGATTTTCTCGCTATCTGGGCATCTGGGTGTGCACTTTTAATAGGGAGACCTGCTGGCCCTGGCGGGGTAGACTGGTCTGTGTCCCTTCTTCCAGAGGTTCGAGCTGGGAAGTCTCCCTATTTCAACACACACTTACACCCCTATCTAAAGTTTCATCACCAATCAGCTTCCCCATCCCTAGCAGCCCATCCGGGCCCATCTGGATTTGGGTCCAAAACTGGCCGCCCTGCTCAGGGTATACTTCCTTCAATTGCACCAACACAAAACCCCAGTGGAGGCTGCTGATGACCTCTGCAGCCGTTCTCGTCCGAATCAATCCTCAAGGGCCGGTTTTCTACACTGCTCGGGCCTGATAAGCAAAAAAGCCCGGCAGGAGCTCCAACGCGTTCGAGCCCGCACAGCGCGAGCCTTCCTGCAAGACATTGACCAATGAGTCAAAAGAGCGTGACTGACTGTACTGATGATCTGACCAAAGGCTGTACGTACAGAAGAACAGAGCCAGAAACAGTACAAACTCCGAAAACAATCGACCTGCTCGTTTGTGGGAAGAAAATACACCACCTTTCCATACCGTCTCGTTTGTAAGACCGTACTCGACACGCTCTTAACTATTCTTAGTGCCTTCCGAAAGCTCATGGCACTTTTCCCACGCTTCAGATTGAACTCCCAGTCCTGCATGGCCGCCGTGTAGGATAAAAAACACCACCACGACGACGCTGTTAGCAATGAGGACAGCAACAACGGGACTAAGAACACACAAAGCAATGATTGTTCGTTGTTTCATGTCGACATGGTGGGGGCACCCGTATACGACCCACAGAAGAGAGCAGAAAACAGCGGCGCGGCGTCTCTCTTTAGGTCCCAGCGTCGATGCAAACTTTGCACTGGTTGCGGTGCAAGAAGTATCCCTCTGCACAATGGCAGTCGTTTTCCTTGGATTTGAGAGCAAATGGCAGCCCAAGGTAAAATGGTTGAGTCCCCATGTACTCATCACCAAACATGGAAAGTGAACCGCATCGCTCCATGCTCCATGGAAGACGGCCTCTTTTTTTCGAAAAACGGTGTTTTCATGTGTTTTCCATCAAATGATGTGACTGGAAAGGGTCAACCAAAGCTTGTGCCATCCACTCAACGATGACCCATCTGATATTGTGCTACAGAAGCCACATGAGTCACGCAAAATGGACATTCGACGTAAAAAATGACCCATCAAGAAGCAGATCCCGAAGGATTGCTCTTAAATCATGTGTCAGCAGTACAAACAAGATAAAGCAAAAAAGAAAACATGAAGACAAAACTAAACAAAACTCAACGAGTTCCTCGCAAAACAGTTGTCTTCACTCGCCAGGCCTCAGATGTGGCGCCTTCCAGTTGAAGCCAGGTGCTCTGACCTCTGACAAGCAAGGAGCGACTCGTGGTCCACCTAAACAAACGGCCAGGAGTCGGAGCCGGACGAGGTCCCTTGGTTCTTCCTCGTTCGGGACCTAAAACCAATTGGTCATTCCCCTTAGGATTTCAAACTTGAACCTGGGTGGACCATTCTCTAACTAGAAAAAACGTGGCATTCACTTTTGTCTAGTATATAAATGGTTATGGCCAGGTAAAAATGCTGTCTAGAAAATGGTAGGCATTCTAGAAAGCAAAACCTTATCTCCATGATGTGTTGCCTTTGTAGGGAATGGTCTTGTACAGGTCCCCAGTGTGCGTTAAATCAGACAAGTGTAAAACCAAAAATGCATTTTCTAGAGGCGCCAGGGAGAGGGATTTTCGAACAAGATTCATCGATGGCCGAACGTTACGTAAAATAACCATTTCCTAGAGATTGTCAGTTATCAATGAAAATGATGCAACATATCAAGCTGCTACTGTTCTGCCAAACGTCTAGAAAGTGCTCTTGTACTCTTGTACCTATTTTCATATCCCATTACATATTTTCAAGCACAAGGATGTCCTCTAGGAATTGGTAAGGTATGGTAAAGCAAATGATTGCATCATCCATTAAAGAAGCTGTTTTATAGAAAACGGTAGGGCTCTAGCAATATATGACTAGAAAATGGCCTCTCCTCGTCTGGTCTCCTAAAATGGTTGAATTATAGCACTGCTTGGGTTAGCTAGCCTCTTGATCATCCAACTTGGTGGATAGGTCCTAGTCTCTACAACTGCTGTCACCAGCGGTATGAAAGTTTGTTCGACTTCATGATTCAAATGCCCAAAAGCTCGGATTCTGTCCCCAAACAAGTGCCAAAGATCGGAATTTCATGGTAACTGCCTCCCTTGTCTTTGTTATTTCTATGGTGTCCGAACCTTCAGCGTCCGGGCTTGCTTGAAGGGTGTGTTCTTGAAGCATCACCTCAATTGCAGAATACCTTGCTGCATGTTGCTGCATGCACCAAGAAACACATCTACAATCAATCCTTGGAATTATCATGGTGACTAGTAACAAGAAGCTACTAGGGGCTCCTGGCCTTACTGCTAAGAGCAAGGACGCTACTAGGGTCTCCTGGCATCGCTACTATGAACAAGAGGACGCTACGAACGAAACAAGGGCCAGGAGCCCCTAGTAGCGTCCTTGCTCCTAGTAGTAAGGCCAGGAGCCCCGTTCGTAGCGTTTATGTGGATGGCATGGCCCCCGAAAGGTCTCCAACCAAACCGGTGGCTTTCATTCGATTCCAGGGAGTGTACACCATCGTCCGGACGATGATCCTCGATTGTGGGCACAAAGCCACGTGCACAAAGCCTTGGCTAGAACATTCATCGCTCCAGGCTTGCGACTTGAGGAGTCTTACGGTAAGACTTAAGAAGTCTTACTCCTCATGAAGCCTTTGGGTGGGGATCAGCTTCTGGCGGCTTGATCCAGTGCTGATGAATGCTTGAGCCTTTCAACCCACGGCCCCGTCAGAAAGCTCGCAACCACGTGGTCACGGCTTCACCGTGGTCGCGGAAGGTCGCGGATCCCTCCAGTGGACGATTTGTGTTTCAGAGTAGGTGGCACAGAGCCCAAGATGTGTTTTGGATGGGGGGTCCATATAAACCACCGACATTGGGGTCTGGGCCATCTACTCTCAATCCTCTGTATGAAAATGTGCTTTTGCCCAAGCCACATGGTGTCATTGCCACACTGATCACAAGCGGTCATGCCACTCCTCGATGTAGAGGAGATGGGTCGATGTCCAGGACTGAGGGAGGAACATCGAATGAAGGAAACCCTCGACCTTACCAAAAGAAGGTGGCCTACCACTGTGCGATTGCTGCCATCTTGCAACGTCCAAGATACCACTCATGACATGTCCAAAACCGGGCGACCCCAAAATGACCCAACGTTCCCCAAGCACAGAAATCAAGTCGCAGCATTCCCGTGACATCTGCACAGAAATCAAGCGACCACGTTTTGGCTCGGCAAACGGGTCACAAAGAGGTGTTGTGGATGGTAGGTAAATGCGCTCTGATTGAAGAAACACAAAGGTTGACAAAGGGGGGCACTCCGTGGCACCTTTGCAGGGTTTGTATATAGAGATTTGCAGTGGACATGGCAGCATCAAATCACCTGCTGTATCGCAACCAGGTGCCTCACCAACTCGCTTCGTAACAAAAAGGAAGAACCTGAGAACAGCAGCAGGCAAGAAAACACATTTTGTTGACATGAAGACGATGAAAGTGAACTGGTGAATTTTTACCCACCTGACCAAGTCAATGGGAACGGAAACATCGCAAATCATCACCCCTGCTGTGAAATCTTCTTTGTGCACTCCTGTGGGTCATGATGTTCAACACGGATGTGGACAACATTGAACCACGCGATCAAAACTATCAGTCCTGTTTGGAAAATGCAGCCCGACTCTTTGATCGGAAAATTTATTGGCTACCACCATGCATAGTGACAACTTCTGAGCCACTGGCTGTCACAGTTGCTAGGATAAACCGACCTGGCCCCCTAAAAAACATTGGCGACATGGAAAGTTACCCAGCCTTGTATGCACAACCCAACCCGCCAAGCAAGAATCCCCAAGAGTTGGGCATGAATTGTCCTATTCGGCAATGGTAGCAAGGCAAGTTCACTAGCAGGCGTTGTGTTTCTGCTTGCTATGTTGCGTTAAACCGCACTACAGAAGCATTACAACGTGGCCCCACAAATGCGCAAGTCTGCGCAAGCATGACAGCGCTGCAGCAAGCAAGACCGCTCCTGAGATTATCGGTGCAAGAGAGCATGACCCGGTGTCAGCGTTCCACTGTGATAAGTGGAACGCATGTTAGCGTGGCCCGTGTTGTTCGTGTGCCAGCATGACAACATGTGAGCACAACAGCCGGCGTGATAGCCAGCATAAAGAACATGAGTGGCAACACGCCATCGTGACGTGCCTGCTGGCATGCCAACGTCAGTATGACAGCATGCTGGCACGGCACGTATGACAGAGCTGCAGGATGGCTCAATGCCGACGTGGCAGCGCACATGCGCTGCGAGCGTGGCTGCCTAATGGAATTACAAAAAAAACATGCCAGCATGACATAGTAACTTTTCAGCACTACACCATGACAATGTCAGGATCTCAGCACTTCAGCACATCTGCAAAGCTGCTCAAATATTGCTTGCTGCGAAACTTGCACAGGGAACTGGTTCGCAAGCTCGGGACCTTCCTCCAAAACCTCACGTGCCCTGGAACCTGCTGTGCTCCCCAACCTGCTCCGGAACTTGCTCCGGAACCTGCTCCGGAACTTGCTCCGGAACTTGCTCCAGAACCTGCTCCAGAACTTACTGCGGGACCTGCTCCGATCTACTTGGAGGCCTTTCCTATGAGCTCCACGGCTGGTAAAAAAACACATAGTCCAATTAAGAACCCCTCACGGCAAAGCTGTTTTGGAGAAAAACACCCACAATTCCACCAATCCCTCGCCTTTCTTCCCAAGACTCGAATTCGCATAGCTTCCCAGGTCGCATTTCGCACAGGTCACCGCACCAGCGAACAAGGCCACCGTCCCGGGCTCGCAAAGGGCACAGGAGGCCTGGCCCGAGGAATCTTGATGACTTCCTGCAGGACATGGGACCTCAGGTGATACAGAAGAGGCAGGCAGGGTCGGAGTATGCGAAGGTGTGACGAACAGTCGCATGGATTGGAGTCATTGGACAAGTGACGGGATTGGAGGGTGGCTTCGAACTTTGGCCGGTTGGGCACTGATGTGCCTGGATCGCTCACCTGGAAGAACCCCGGCCCCCCGTGCTCGTTCCTGAGGACGCCGAAAACGCTTCACCAGGCGGCACAGCGATAGGTTTCGCCGAAGTCATCCACCAGCGCCTCCGAGAACATCCCCGGGCCACACAGCGCACAGCCGGTGGCCACTGCCCGCAGGGCCACGTGCTCGTTCCGCGCGTCCGCCAGACCGAAGCCTGGTGTCCAAAGCCCGTTCAGGGCCCATCAACTCGGTAGAAGTGAAGAATTCGACCAGGTCACTTGGACCACCTGTGTTTCGGGTCTCAGAACTTTCTGCGACTTTTTTGATGGGTCCGGCAACCTTTTGGTGCGGCCGGCATTGTTTCGTTCACTCTTAGCTTCCACGTTCTGCTGACTAAAGGATCCTCTTCACCCCTGAACATCCTGAACACCTTCCCATCTTCCGACGGTCGGGGTCTCCAACTTGCCCCTCCTGCGATGCAGTTGGTGTCCACCGGGACCCATTTGGCCCACCGCTCGCGGTTGGCCAGGACCCACTCACAGGCTACGTCATACATCGACCTGCGCCGAGAAAGCGTCGAGCTGATGGAAATGCAGGGATGCCATCAACGTGCAGCATGGAACCAATATGGAACTCAAAAGCCCCCAAATGGAGGAAAGATTCATCCGAAAGCTAAGTGGGAAGGTTTGGAAGAGGTTGGAGAGTGGCAAAACCCCACTGAGCCAGTGAGAGACCGTCCTCAACCCTCAACCGGTTGGCGGCTGTTTGTGTGCGTGCAGTAGAGAGAGAGAGAGAGAGAGAGAGATGCACATGTACCACAATATTCTACAATGGTATTATAAATCATATCTTGAACTGTATCCTTAGAACTTGGGGTTCTCCCATTGAACTTGGTGTCATGCATCGCCAGATACGCCGATCCCCCAAGGAGTCGGACCCCCCACCCCCTCACAGATCCGCTTCACACGCATGGCTTCACAACGGATCTCTCTTCCGTGGCATTGGTGAATCAACACTCATGGGGCACCACTGCAAAGGTGTGGTGATCCCTTGCAGTGCTGATCCATCAGAACTCCCTTCAAACCGTGGCCCATCGTGCCTGCCGTTGGCCGCCTCTGACAGCAGCTGCGTCATATCGCCCAACTCCAACCTCGTCCAATTGGAGGGCGACCCGTCTGTCAGGAGTGTTGGACCAACATCTTCTCGTCTGGTGGTTGGCCCTTCCAGGCCCAACATGGGTAGCTGAACATGGCAGACATCACACCTTTGCAGGAACAAGAAGCTACGAACGGGGCTCCTGGCCTTACTAGGAGCGTTCGGACGCTACTAGGATCTCTTCACAGCGTCCCGGGCGGTGCACCCAGTTGTTCCGTCTCGGGCGGGGCCAGATGAAGGTGAAGGAAGTGCGGCCACCCCTTCAGTGTCTTCAGCAGATATTGAAGGTGTCTCCAGAGGCACCCGTTGGCAAGGCGCGCCGACCAAGCTCATCGTGATGACCGCGCTTTCAGGGGAGAAGGAAGTAAATCCCATACTTGGATCGCTTAGTCTGCGGGGATTTAGAACACCATAAATTTCCCGTAGCCATACGTGGTTACATGCAGACTCACCAGTGAGTCACTGGAGCGGAGAGCATACAGCCATATACAACCCTAAGCCGTATCGACATTCCCTGGAATCATCGTTAGGTGGAGAACGCCCCGCAAGGATGACGTTTCGCCGAATACCAACCAGGTGGTTTTCACTGAGCCACTGGCCTGGGCAGTCTCTTGTGGTTTCGACGAGAAAAAAAAGCGCGTTCAGGATCTCCGAGCCACTTGAAATTTTGCAGGAACTGCCGCACCGAGGGTGCAGCGGTGCGCAAGATGGAGCTCACCAGTTTGGTGATGTAGTTCCTTGGGATTGGTCAGCTTTGGGCATCCGGACGTTCGAACAGGGAAGATTGGTCAGGTCATGGACTCGAAAATGAACATCCTCTACGTTCCAAGCGGGCCACGCTGTTTGAAGAAAAGGTATCTATGGCCCAATGGAAACTCACAAGGGCAAAGAAAAAGAACGGCAAAAGGACAAAAGGAGCATTGACCACATACATCAAAACTACTTGGCCATTCATCCACTGCACTCCTTCTACGAAATCTTTAAAATAATCAAAACAGAATCTGCTGAGCACTGGCCGGGCTTCTGGTTCCCCGCAGTGCGAAGGTTCCCCTGGCTCCGTGTTCGTGAGAAAAAGGGGCTTTTTGACCTTCAGGTGATCCTAATCCATGATGTCCAACCTTGGGAGTAGAGGGGGGCGATGCCAGGTAACTAATTTTTCCTATATATGTCATACACCATCTAATGTACCTATTGGTTCTTCACGACCAATAGGACATCCCCCCCTATTGATCAATTAAGCAGGAGCAGCTAAGGCCATCAATCTATCCTGACTCCTAAGACCTACCCTAGGATTCAAACAACCAGCTCAACCGTTCTTTTAATGGTCTTTTGAAGGCTAGGGACCTACCTTGCCAACAACAAAAGAATCAAATACCAGAAGAACCTGGGCCGCACGAACTGGCTTTGGGGATGTTTGGAGCTCGGTGTTCTTTCGCCCAGGACGAGCACAGAGACTCATGGATCTCTGGAGGCAGAGATAAGGCTCCCAAAACCCACTGTTTGGGCATTTCTCGATGATGGCACACACACCCTTTCCGCGCACCAGTTTGGTGCGCTTTTCACCCGGTCTGAATGCCATCCTCATCCTCCCTGTCCTGTGCCCACTCGGAAGGGCTGTGAGGTGGAAGCACAATGTACGAGGGATCCAATGGCAGGAAGGTCGCATCCTCAGCTCTGGGCCGCTTCGCGAGTCACCCCGACGGGTGGAACCGGCGCACCGGTGAACAAATGGGAAACCGAGTGTCGGTGCGCCTGGTTTCGGAATGCCAGCTGGTGATGTTTGCTGTTGAACGGCACTTGAACACAGTGAATTGGCAGCTGGCAAACCTGCCAAAACGTGGAAAAACATACACGCGCAGGTTGAAAGACACATATCATCACACATGTATTGGGATCGAAAATCGTAAACAGTTCAGCATAGATTAACATCACATCCTGGTTCCGGCAGAAAACAGTTGAGGTCGCCTGTGGTGCCCCCCTGGCGATTAGAGTCTGTCCACACATTCACTAGCATCATGATCTTGCTACAGCAACTTCACAATATAAATCAATATAGTATAATTATTACAAATTATTGTAATGCATATGCATACAGTAGTGTATGTGTCTGCTTGACCCTGGTTGTTTCGATACTGGGGCTCAATACAAAAAAAATCCAACAAAAGTATATGCTTGGCTTCGCTCGAAAGAAAAAATGCTCCATGAAATCCTATCGACTGGAGGAAAAAAGTCACACATTCGATCCAGGCAACGGGCATCCACCAGTAGAAGAGCGCCTTGGTCGACCACACAGTCGACACAAAGGTGCCCCAGTCCTTTGCGATGCCAATGGCCACAGGGAAACCATAGGCCGCGGACCTGCAAAGGAGTGGCAGGTCAAGAAAAGCGAAGTTAAGGGACCAGAAACGGGTTAGGCAACGAGCGCAAAAAATAAGAGTTCGTTTCTGTTAATCTATCTGGCGATCACTATAGGATGAGTTGTTTTGTTTGCCAGAATTGGTCGGGTGAAAAGTAATGATGGTGGGTCATGCTCCCAGAAAAAGAATCACACTGGGCTTAACCTGAGATGGCGCTTGCCTGCTTCCAGGATTCCTGAAATATACGTATATATATATATATATCTGTGTGCGCCCTTGGTAGGACAAACCTGCAGATCCATAAGCCCACCATGAAACGCTTCGGAGTCGGCTGCGGGATAGGAGTCACTTCGGAACGTCGGAATTCCGCCAGGGTACCACTGCATCATGGCATCGACGATCCAACCATTCCCCGCCGCCAGCAGTGGGATGCACGTGGAGCTGTTTTGCCGACAAGAGGGCGACAGCCAAAAATAGTCGTCCGCGCATCGAGCGACATATTGCCTGCGTGGTTTTTCGTGTCCAGTGTTTCGACAACGAGGCCATCCTGTGGCCTAGACCCGCTTGGACATACAACAGGTTGGTGCGGGTGAGTAACACAGTGGCAGATACGAAGAAGCCATCCATGTGGCAACCACAGTTAGAATACTTTAGGCAACTTTAGGGGTCTCACGACGTTTCCACACCTGGCATGGAACGAACCCCGCATTTCTGTGCAATAAGCTCTGACTGATTCGGCCACGCCTCCTGAATTATATGTACAGTACTAAACTCTGAGTTTCCAATTCAGGCAGAGGGTTGAACTCTTGATGAAGCGCTTCCAACTTTGGTGGACCAGTTCTTGCCCAATTTCTCCCATCTGTTCCTAAAGTTCCTGCCATTCCGGCTCCCGACCACAGATCAAGTACCATGCATTGACATGCAACCGTACACCGTGTTCAGTAGATTTAAGCACGACGAGCCACGCATGTTCACAACAACCATCCACCATACCATGTCAGCTCCCGTCATCGATCCCCTTTGTCGTTGGTGAGCCCATAGCCAAGAACGGCCCCCTCCCCCGAAAAGTAACAAAACAAGAAGTAATCGAACATTCAAGTCGAACCTACTACTATCGAAAATTCATGAAGAATCACATGGGTTCCCTACATGCAGGATCTCAAAGAAAAGGAAAGACCTCAAACGTTGCCGTGCTAAGAACACTCACCCGCACCCCGTAAAAAAGCCAGGTGTTCTTTTGGCAGAAAAACTCCAAGTGGCCCAGGGCCAAGCTCGATGACGCCATCCAAATCTCCAGTCCAACGGACATAATCCCTCATCCTCAAAGCATTCCTGAGGGTCAATCTGAGTCAATCAGAGTGAGCTTCAGCTTCCGAGTGAATCGGTTTTTTTCCACAAAGGAAGGCCCAGCGAGAAAGGCTTGAAGATGTTGAAATGTACACAGCAAGAGGCCTCGATCTGACCGGACTTGACCGGGTTTGAGGGCTGCCAAGAGGCCTCTCGAGGCCTGGAGTAGATCGAATATGACATGATGAGGCTTTCATTAAACATCACCCCATTTCAGGTATCCAGGTATTCCGCCACCCATGTCTAAACAACTGCCATGTTGCATTTGTCTTGCCATATGCGTGCATATGCCACCTGTCACCTTTCTTTTCTCTCTAAAATCGGTCTCTTTCGATGCCACTTCAGGGTCGCTCGGCTCGTTTCACGGCTGAGGCTCCGAAACTCTAGGCCCTCGAGGTCGCATCGAAAGAAATGTCTCCGATCAAAGCTTTCGAGCCTGGTAGCTGGAGTTTTGGAGAGGCTGCGGTTTTGCGAAGGGGGCTGACCCTGGGGTGGGGCTGAGGACTTTGGTGGTGGGGGGCAGGGATAAGGATGATAAAAAACACATAAACAAATTGACCAAAAAGGCATCCAACCTTGAAGGCGTGTCAGGTGGCTGCGCCAAAGACGCGCCAAAAGCACCCCTGGATACTATGCACGGTTAGTGGCGGGACGGTCTTGATAGGTCGTCACCCATAGGCCGCTTCCAAAACCAGCTGGATATGACATTCCAGTGGAGTGATCATGGATCTGGAAAACCCTGTGTTTGGCATTCGGAAAATGGTGTTCCTTTCGGGCCATGCCATCCATTCCCTGAAATGAAAATAAAAACCACCTGCTTGTAGAGGAAAAAGGTCATCCAAACGACCATGCAATTCACGTCCATGATAATTCCAGGGAGCGCGTACCCCGCGCATGCTGATGTGGCCATTGACTATGCTAATAGCTGCTAACCGCCTCTGAAACCCCCAAGCACGGCACAAGTGATGGTCACTCACTCCGAAAAAGTGCCGTAGCCAGCTCCACAGCCCCCCCCATCACGCAAAATCCGTAGACCAGTGCCATTGATGAACATTTGCTATGTTGATATGGCTTATATAAGGCCTTATCAGGCCCCATCAGGCCGCAAATCCATGGGCGGGGGCGGAGGTGGCCAAAACTCAACGGCATCGCCGACATGACATATGATGGATGTTGAACATTGTTCCTTGGTTAATGTAGACTCTTGATTAATAACCCCCGTCCATAGGAAGAAGAGGTTTTTCAATCCAAATGGGGTAGGCATTGTGGCTCAGGCCTTCACGCCGGCATGTCTGTCACTTCCCTTTTGGGGAGTGCGAACTGAGCCATGACACTATGACTATCCACGTCGGTATGCCCCAGCCATGAGATGATCATAGCAGAGACCAACCTTGGAATGTGTTCGACTCACTTAGTGATGACATCCGCCAAGTTTCCAGAAGTCTGTCAAGAGATGAGCAAGACATGTTTCCTCGAGGAAGACGAGACATTCTTCTATGTTTGGGAGTTCTTGGAGCCAAGATGGTGTAGTCGCTGTGATGGTATCTTGTCTTGGAGTTCCTTTTTGCTTTGTCGAGTTGTTAGGCTTGGAAATAGACCCACTCGACTTTCAAAGGGTCTACGGAGGTCCCCAACTGGGGCCTTTACCGAAAATTGCGCTCTGAAAGTCGTGCTTGATGGCGAATTTGTTTGAAAACTCTTTTGGTGACTTATGTGACCACAAGGCACGTACATATCGACATCGGCCGGAGCCAACGACTCGTCATTTTGATATTTCATATCTCGTCATAGCGAAAAGCGCAGTGGCGAGTTGTCATGAGTTGATGATCCTGCCTTCTGGTCTTTTTCCTCTTTTTCCTTCGCTGCATACGACCCAGTCGCTGCGCGACGCTGAGGTGTACAGACTTTCTCTTTGTAAGCTTCCCATAGTGGGCGTCTGGCAGCAGTTCATTTAGTCTTGCAGGGTAGGATCTCACTTAGACATCTCAAGACCGGATCCAATTCAGTGCGTCCACACCGTGGAGCCTTTTGCAATTGCCATTGTCCCACAGTGTGCATGCCAAACCCACCTGTACCCGTCACATTAGGTGACAAGGGGCGGTTGTGGGCGTGCGTCGAACCGCAAGTCCGTGCATCCAAATGCGGTGGGCTTATTAATCAAGAGTCTTAAGTTTCAGCCCCTGAATGGGTTGGGACCCCGCTCGGAGATGCTCCAGCCTGTCGAAGTACTTCTGGGGGAAGTGAAAGGTGGTGTTGTAGCCTCAAGATGTGGACGAGTCCAAGCTCCCATCCAGGACAAAGCGATTTTGGGGCAAATTGGACCCCAAAATCAGAGACCTTGGGAAAGTGGAACGTTTGCCGCAACAAACCTTGCAAACCACCGGTGCATCATCATTTGGCGCATGGAGATGGGACGTGGGGTCAGCGACGGGTGCACCAAGGCTGCGCAGAACATCGAGGTCCAAAAGCGTCCGATGTTCTGGTGCGGCCGCCCTGGTGCTAGACACGCCTTCCGTTCGACCCTTCAAAGAGCGGTTGACCTGGGGGTTTTGTGGTAAAATCCTTAGTGAAACGTTGTTCGGTCAAGGCGTTTTTTTTCTCAAGGGTGGTTCGAATCCTAGGGCCCTTCCTTGTTTCACTTCTCTAGCATTTGGGAATTTGGGTGTGCGATTGAATACGGAGACCCCGTGGCCCTGGCTGGGTAGACTGGTCTATTCACCGAACCTCCAGAGGTCGAACTGGGAGGTCTCCCTATTTTCATACACACCCGCATTTCTATGGATGAAAAGGGCTCACTTGTGGCAGCTGCGGCCTCCAAGGGCCTTGATCTGGAGTGGGGGGGTAGCTCAAATCCCAGGGTGAAGTGCTTTCCCCCTCCTTTCAGTGATGAGCTCGTTCCTGTTCCGGTCTAGTATGAAGCTTCCACGCGATCTTGAAAGGGGTGGCTCTCAGAATGGATGAATGCCTCGGCCAAGGGGTCACCAATAGTTTTGGAGCACTGTTGACGGGATCAATGATCAGGCAACATGAAAGGATGTCAATACTATATTGATAATTGTGGTGGTTCTTGACTGAAGACATGAAGCAACCTAGTCATAGAGCAAAACTGGAAGTAGCGATGTAGAACCTCAAGACAATTGGTATAATTATACAGTAGGTGTATTCAACTTAAATAACTGTTCAACGGCAGTCGAGGCGGTAGAGTGTTGACCGTTGACCCTTGAAGGAAGAGCCAAGGACAAGTAAGTGGTCCTGAAAACGGTGAATTGAGCACCCTGGACCCTGATCGAAGGAATGTGCTGCGAAAACCATCTGATAAAGGACCTCTGGTCAAACCTTGCGGCTGCCAAGCACCATGCAGTGGTCCTCATCCCATGGGAATCCCCGAAGTCTTTCCATGGAAAGGACCATGGGAGTAGGAATCCCTTCACACACCCAAACATGCGGTCCAGCTGTGGCGCCTGCCAAGCACCATGCAGTTAGATCATGACTAAAGCTGATCTCATCGATGCGGTTCACCAGGTGGCGAGGCTTCGAGTCCACCAATTTGGGTCCGGGGAACTCTTGTAGAAGTCGAGCGCAAGGCCGGCATCGGAGTAGGCCTGGTCCCGGATGGATCCTTTCACAAAGAGGTAGTGATCACCGTTGTATCCTGGCCGGTCGATGGTGCAATCGATGGTGTATCGGGGCGAGCTCCAAAAGAAACTCGGAGGAAGTGTGGAAGTCCAAGGACCCGAGGATCCAGTTCCCCTGTCTTTGGGTTGCACTCTGACTCACCGGAATGGACATGAATGGACCATTTTGGTCCCTTGGAAAGGTAACTTTCCTTTGCAAACAAAGGGGGGTTGTCCACGGAGTGTAGCGCGTGTGACTCGTGGCTTGAGTGACTCATGGGCAAACAGCTCCATCGAAGACGCCCCAGGCCCTCCAGGCCTAAAAAGTTTGAAAGTCTTCTCAATAGCGGCCAAAGCTTTAGAGGCTGCAACGAGACCCAAGCTATTAGAGGCTACTGAACAATATCAGGAACGATGAAGCTCTCAGCCACAAAGCCACTTGAACATCCCACCAGTCACCAATGACCACTGGTGGCCGAACCCATGGAGCTGAGCTCAGCCGAGAAGCCCATCGAGCCAAGATCTTCCGGCGCTCGAGCCGCATGGTTCTCCTCAAACTCCTGCGGCGGCCCGATCTGCTGCGGCATCACCCATCGGGTCGATATATGGGTGATTTTCGCCGATACACATCCACTGGTACACCTTCTGCTGATACTTTTGGATGCCGAACTCAGCTTTCACGAGTCGGGGTTTCAAAAGGCCGTAGTCACGAGCGAAACCATCTAACTCAACCTCGACGGAGCCGTAGTCGAGAAAAGCCTGCGATTCAAGGCCGAAGACTGAGGAAGACTTGCCACGGCCGAAGAAGAAAAAAGAAAACCAACAGAGGCTTTTTGTGACCGTCAATAGGACCCTGAACCAGGGTACCTATGGGATAGTCGAACTAGGGTTCTTCAACCTCTGTTGGGATACTTGGTCGGCGTTCACGTCTTGAACATGTCTTTTTTTATTCAAGCAAACCGGTGATGAGGAATTCCAGTCAGCCGGAACTTTAAAAAAAAGAACGAAGCGACCGAAGCGTCGACGTCCGTGTCTTCCCCCGTGCGCGTTCCGTAAAAAGACGAAGACGCAGGGCAAGGCACCGATTTGTTCGACAAACGTGAGTATTCTGACAGGTGCTATGTTCGCTAGGTGGAGAGGAAAAGAAGAAACAAACTGCATGAATCTACAGAAAAAAGGCTCCGTAGTTTCTCAGGTTGGCACGTGTACATGCAACGTCGCATCTTGCATGTTGTGTACATAAAAGCATGAACGCGTAGCATACTATATGCATGTGCATGAGTACAAAACATCTGACATCGGTGGAATCAGATGTGTGTGTGTGTGTGTGTGCATCTATAACGATATAGGTATATGTTTTAAAAATGTGTATGTGTGTGTGTGTGTGCGTGTGTAGTGTAGTGTCATCCCAACACCCCTGAACAATCAATCCTGACAACAGTGGAAGGTCAATGTATGTGTCATGGATGTGTGGCATTATGTGGTATATACACCAACACCTTCCAAGATCTAGAAACACGTGGGGTCTCGAAAACCTTCGGAAAAGGGCCGCCTTTCTCTAGGGCCTGGGGTTTGGTTTGCTCCTGTACTCCTTCCTGACCCGTCACCTGGCACCGGGAGAGGTGGTCACCTGTCCTGAAAGAGTGTGATGGCTTCCGCTAGCCAGGTCTCCAACGCCACGTGTTGCGGGCGCATGGTGACCGAACAGTTCGCACTGCTACAGCCAGCGAGCTTTAGAACGCCTTCAAAAATGCTCACCGTGGCCTGGGAGGCTGGAGGCTGAAGATAGTCGAATGTGCCACGTGGTTCATCAAAACCCCCAAGATGGAGACGCAAAACCCTTCTGCGAGGGGGGTTGTTAGTCAACAGTCTACGTTGAGGTCCTAAAACAATCCGTTTCCAATTCTTTCTGCACCGTCGCCTGAAACGCTGGCTGCAGATCACTGTCACCCAGTTCAAGAACAGGGTGCCACCCAACCCATGGGGGTGACTGGGCTACCAACACTAGTGAAACCATCTCTGGCTTGAGGGGAAAACATCGACAACATGTTGGTAACATATAAGGATTTTACAATCATATACATGCCATATATTCACGTGTTCAACAGTTCCCGAGCTCATTCCTTTTGCACCATACGTGCCCGTTGAAGATGTTAGGCCAGCAAGTCGCCATCATTGTGCCCAAAATCAAGACCCGAGACCGGTCAGACCCGCAACCAAATTTGTGGGATCAGTGTTTGCTGTTGCGAGGGTAGATGTTTTGTCATGTTTTGACACATCTTCTGCCATACTTATTTACCCCTCTTCGGGGGCTTGCCTCCATCTAAGCATCCAGCAGAAGCCCATCAACTGAATGGATTGAATGCACCTCCTGTCCAACAAACATGGAAGTGGATAGCCTGGATAGCATGGCCCCTAGGAAGCCCATGTTCTCCACTCCAGCACATGGCCCCCCATAACCGGCCTGAGTATCCTTCACGACGTGGTATCCCAACACTTCTGGGATCAAAATCTCTGCGAGCATGGTCGCCGCATCTGCGGAGGCCCAGTCATACTGGATCAAAGAGATCGGGTTCTCCTCCCCTGCACGTTCGTGACAGGCGCCAAATGGTGAGTTTGCTTTTTTTGTGGTGGGGCCACCGTGTTGCAACAGGTGAATGTCATGGAGGAAGAAGAAGAAGAAGAAGCAGGAGGAGGAGGAGGACAGAAAAAAAGTCAAGATTCCTCTTCTGGCACTCTTCGTGACATGGGACAGCATGGTCATTGCGAAGATGAAGTGGAAAGCCTAACGGAGCCTTTTATACTTAAACAATATCTATAAATACCACTCACTGGGACATCCTACCAGGAAGAGAATTTGTCTGCTGGTTTGGTGAAGGCCTTTCCGAAAACTAGTATATACTAGAGACAAATAATCCTTTATTTACCGACTATTGCTGGCTTTACTGGGACACACCCTGCCAATGACCCTCTTCCCACATCTCACATCTGCCAACATGAAAGTACAAGTATACTAGGGTTACTAGGGCTTGCTAGAGGTATCCGTCAACGGTCGGTGCTTAGGCATTGCGGGTGCAAAGAACCACCCCTGGCGGCCGGTTTCAGGCCTTACGTGGTCTTCAGGTTTCTGCCCACATTTCTGACGCTTGGTGCAATGCCAGGATATGAAACTGCATGGAACTGGTGGTCACATCTAAGTCACCTAAGTGCCTGCTGTCTTTCTTTTCGGAAGCTTGAATCCGAAGCGCTGAAGCAATTGCCATGGCCGAAAACACGCCATCGCCATTCCCTGCAACATCTGGGCGCATAGTTTAACAGGGAGATCCCCAACCAATGGGTTTTTGGCCTTTGCAGTTTCATGCAGTCGACGACATGCAGTGACAACCCCCAGCTAAGCGTGAGGTCGGCACAATGGTTGTGGTCTATTGTCCTTCCAGGAGGTCCTTGTTTTCGGTCTTCCCGTTGCACACCCATCCGCCGTCCGCCTTTAAGACACATTCTGCCCCATGCAATGGTTGAATTCCCACGCCATTCCATACAAGAAATTTCATGACGATCCGAATGGCCCTCGTCCTCACGTTGCACTTCACTTCCTTCCCTGTCCCTGGGGCTTCATCTGAGTGAGCCCATCATCAACCACGACCAACCTGACAAAACTGGACTGTCCATTGTGACCTATTTTCTGAAGAGCCTCTCCAGGAGAACCACAAATCTCTATCTTTTGCTCCATACCGCCCGAATGCCCCGCTCTCCCACACTCAACGCCCCCAACGCCCCGACTCCGACTCAGGCGGAAACCCCAAACCGCCTGCCGAGTCCTTGAGGTACAAACGCTTCGACTCCGCGAGGCCATCACGGAGGCAAAGACTTCGGACGGATGGCGCCAGGCCCACCGAGATCGCGAGCGCTAGGTGCCATGTCGCCATCGGCGAGGGCGGGTTTGGGGGCAGATGGCACAGAGACAGGTGGTCGACAGGTGGAATGCGAATGGAAGTTCGAGAGGTTCGTTGCAGACCGGTTTACGCCATACCTGAAGTTGGTCTATCGCCTTTTGGTGCCATCTACCCCAATGGAAAAAACTGAGGCAAAAATGAGGCTCCCACTTCGGGGAACCCAGCGCCAAAGACCGTTGAATCCTTGAGTCGGAGAATGCAACCAGTGCCATGAAATCCAGGACTGGTTGCAACCAGTGGTGAGGGAACCTAGAAAAAGCAAGGTTGATTGGAGGACTTGCTGCTGAGCAGCATGCCCCCATTGTGAAACACTGCAGTTGTGCATAGATGTATGAAGGCCATATGATGAATGCTCTAGCATTGGCAGCAGTGCTATCGGCAGGTCCAGCGCAAGGAGATCCAAGCAGAAAGTCCCATGACCTGAAAGGATGATCAACTCTGATTTCTGAAGTCTGCTGTGTGAGAAACGCGCTTTTGCGGTGGTACCGGCCAAAGTTTAAGATCTAACAATAAGAGCTTCAACGCCTTCTTTGCTGAAACATCTTCCAAAACTGGAAATCTCTCTACGAGGCTGTGAGGGCCCTCAGTAGCTCGTAAGCGAAACATTTTTCCAAGGACGGTACCCCGACCTTCCGGCAATGTTTGCCAGTGTCCTGTCTTTCGCTGATAGTATGTACACATCCAGCACCCATCAGCCTGGCGGGTCGGAAAAACACCGGATGGGCTGAGGGATGGGGCTGAGGGATGGGCTGAGGGACTGAGCGAGTCCAAGAATCCAAGAATAGGAATCTTGATTTATAACACCCCATTTGGATTGCAAACCTCTTCATATGGAGGGGTTTATGAATCAAGATTCTACATTAGTGAGCCCCACATCTCGCAGCATCAGCCCAGACGCGGCAGTCGCCATGGTTCGCATCGCTCATTTGGGGGACAGGTTCTTCCCCATCTCACAATCCAAACAGACTGTGGGCATATGCAAAGTACTCTAGGCCGACAAGAGCGAAACAATCCTGCTTTCACATCTCGCCACATCTCTACACAAATTCCTCACAGAAAATGCAGGCCGAGTAGCTGCAGAATCCATGTTTGATCCCTCCGCCCGCAAAGTCTCATCTCCCAAAGCCTGGATCCGCTACAGCTTCACGTTGATGATGTTCTTCGTGATCGTCACCCCTTTGTGCTGCTCCCCGGCCTATGCATGTGATGCAGCGACGGTGCAGACATCCCACTCAAGACCCCTGGAATGGAACACAGGAGTTGCCACCCAGGCCTGTGCCTCTAGACCCAGCATGTCTATAGTATATAGAATTATATAGAAAACCTCCCACAGTCGACCTTCAACATCAGACCTCCATGCCATCCACAAACGCCTTCGCTGATTGCCCACGCCTTGAGGTGGCCCTGCTTTTGCAGCAAATCCACCGCGGCTTGCTTGATCTGCGCCAGCGCTGGTCGCGGCGCCGTTATTTTGCAACGGCGGCGGTTGGGGTTGCGGAAGGAGCACGAAAGAACACGGGCAGCAGTTGTGTGCGGCTTGGAAGCGGTTTCTCCTCTGTCCATGACTGGAATGAAAGCTGGAACATGTCGAGGCAAAAAGCAAGGTCTCTCCCGCCCTCTGACAAAAACCTCCCACGATACGAGTCCTGATTTCGACCCCCCGGCCCGTCGCACTGGGAACGCGACGGGCCATCCCCAAGAACCCCCGCGGCCACGCCATGATTCATGCAGACGTCCTCAAAACGGCCGTGGCGGCCTCCTTCTCAGAGATGTTCTTCTCCAGATCGATGCTGCCCACTGCCTGGGGCACTCGCAGGACTCGCCGCGTCGGATCGAAGAAGGCGCCGCTCCGTGCGACGAGACGCGAAAGACATGGCCACCCACCAACAGTCAAATCATATGAACAGCTCCCTACCGGTCAGTTTGACCTCAAACTTTCATGACTCGAGTTGATATTTCAACAAAGACTACTCGAACTCAAGGAGGCAAAAGACCCGGTTTTACAGGGTCTTTGGGCACTGTTTGTTGGGGGCATGGATGAACCATGAGATACCATGAGCAACCCGCCGTGAGCTGAAAATTTTAATGCACCCTCTTCCGTGCCCAAGCCTCCACCACCCCGCCGGCCTTGGTGTTCATGCCCCGAAGGATGCTGACGAGATAGGTGTTCTGGGTGGACTGGGCAAGAGAAAAGTCGGTCGCAAGAGAAGTCAGAGATCCCGAAAGAGAACTTCCTAGCAGCATCTGGCAGCTGTAGCAATGCTATAGCAGGAATGTATGATGACGTGCAGTTCATGCTTCACGACATTGGTGGACATTTGTTGCTCCCTGTGCTGGCGACGCAGCGACATCACATCAACTTCTTCCCCATGTGCAGCAAGCAGGGTGCCTTCACTGCTGATTTTGAGCCCTTTTTGGACTTCTTGTCCTGCACGAGTGCGCTTGTAGATAGGTTGCTGCATGAAAATGCCATGCAAAACTTCATCCTCCTGCAAGAACTCATCCCAGTGGTAGATGAGTTGTAGATACACCCCCCCTAAACTACACCATCGTAAAGGGGGGCTTTCATCTTGCACAGCCCAGAGCGGCCAGCCAAATACAAGTTGGAAACACCATGTCCCTCTACAAGGTGGCGGGGTGTCCATGAAACCATGTTTGTTGGGAGGACCTATAGTGGATTGAGAGTAGATGGCACAAACCCCAAGAGGTGGTTTATATGGACCCCCGTCTAACGGACATCTTGGGGTCTGTGCCATCTACTCTGAAACCACTGTATCTGGGACGGGACTACCCATGTCTTTCTCCCAAGCTCCTCCATCTTTGATCTCAACCACTCGTTCAGCTCCGCGGCGGCTTCTGTGCTGACGGCACTATAGCCCTAGCGGGGGCGATAAAAAACACCACAGCACTCCAGCAATCCTTCAAAGAAAAAGCTGATCTCAGGCCCCCCAATGTCCGAATGCCATTTTTTGAGGGCCTCCGCCCCAAGGAAGCACCTTTTTCGGTGCACACAAGGGCCACATGAGAACTCGAAAAAGGTGCTGGACAAAAATTTGAAGAGTCTCCAGCTGGGACCCAATTCGGGCCGAGGGGCCTCTTGGAGATGCTCAGCATTGATGCTGGTCCCGGAACCTCTTTCCATTCTAAAGCAACCAATGAGGGCTGACCCAAACCATAGAATTTGTATGATTTTGTTCGATAGGAAAAGTCATTAATACTCATGTTGACAAGGTCTAAAGTCTAAACCTACGGCGCCATGCGATGATATGAAGGATGAGGACCGTCAGAAATGTTCGAGGGTCTGGCCATGCTCCACCATGCTCAAGATCAACCTGCCAATGAACCTCCTTCACTGTACCAGGTGTGACCCACAATCTGGGGACATCAGTAATTGTGGAGTTCCAACATTGGAAAATCGATTCAAAGATGCCAAGAAGGCACAAACTTCACCAGGTTCTCCTTAGTCATCCTTTGAATCAATGCCCTCAGATATACAACCCCCACCTTGTGGAAAAACACAAGGGCTGGGGGCTGCAAAAAAACAATTCTTGGGTGTCGGGCATGCCCCGAATGCCTCATGAAATGTATTGAAATACCAGTGACACGGTCACTATAGTTCGGCCCGGATGCACCCAAAACGGTCATCATTCGAGCTCCGCCTTGGCAGCCCAGGCTTTCCCCAAAGCCGAGTTGTCTGGGCTTGGCGGCCTCCAAGAGACTGCCAAGAAGGTCCCTTTTTGGGGGGGCTTGGTTGTGCGGCCTCCAGTCGTGAAAATGGGGCACGAAATGCATATATAACATGATACGCGACTTTCCTCCAAACTCTTTCACTCACCAATCCCGAAACCTAGTGTTTTGTCCAACCAAAGATGTGTTGTGACAAGCTGAAAAGACCGGTTTCCCACAATCGGTGCAGGAGAGGAAGTAGTAGAGCCCTTTGACTTCCCAAAATTTTAACTATATAAAGAAGTAGAAGAAGGAACAAAAATGCAAAAACACGAGAACAACAACAAGAACAAGGGTTTCTGATCTCGTGATATGACAACACCACAGTAACACAAGAAAAACGAAGTCATCCATCACACGTTGGACTTAGGGCCAGTTAGGGTGCTTGGGTCTTACCGCAGCGGGTGTTGCGCAATTGCAAATCCGAGGGGAAGCGCAGGCACGGGGGGACAAAAGGCCCGGATACGATATAATATATACATATAGCGCATATAGAAAGGAGCTTATTGTGTTGTATCATCATGCTGTTGCTGGGCTCATGTTGCCGCACGACTGGCAAATAGGTTTACATCATGTTGCTGATGGGAAACACATGGGATCCTGCCACCTGATCAAATTCCCACCCCACCGCGTTCCCAAACACTGTTTCCAAAGTATTCCAAAGTGAGCTACACACCAGCGAGCCACCACCAGCGCTCTGCGCGTGCCACGCCTTTTTCACGTGCCGAGAGAAACGCCCGCAAGACCCGCGGATCACGCCTCTCCAGCTCCTCCTCGAACCCCCCCGTCGGGCGCTGACGCGCCGGCCTGGCTCGGCGCCGGCCGAGCAATTAAGTAGAAATTGCGTTTTTGAAGGTGGTGATAGGGGAGATGAGTTTTGCAGCTGTTCTTCTTCAGGGGAACCCGTGGCCGGTGCCTTCGAAGGGTCAGTAGGCAGAAGACATCAAAACGATTTGGAAGCGGTGCATGCGTGCCCGCCCCGACCCCGGTCTAGGACCATGAACTTGAGCGTGAGCGGGGCCGGTGTGTTCCTGAGAGGGGCTCCGGTAAGTGCTGGCCGATGTCGGTGTGATGTCGGAGTGGCAACTTGAACAACCTAACAAAAAATGTGTGTGTGTGTTTTTTTCACTGCTGACCGTCGAGACTTTTCCCGGGAAAAGCGTTGCCCAGGATTTGGCCTGGGGCTTGATCCCCCCTGCTCGCTCCTGGAACGCTGCTGTTGACGCAGTTGGTACGCTGTATGTCATGTAGGTCTGCTGAGTGGGGGCGCTCGTGCGGGACCTATGCATACCAACGCTAATAAATGCGTGAGCAGTGGCAGCGAAAGCACGGGCTCCGGGACCCTTTTGGCCTTGGTGCATGGCCGGCTTGAGCCAACCAGTGCGGTGGTCTTTTTGACCAAGTGGTTCAACCTCTTCTTTGCACTGACCACAACTTCTGTTGGTCAAAAAGTGCTAAAGAAGAAAAACAAATCCTGCCTCTCAGACAGCTTTCGCTGCAATGCCGCCTCCTCCAAGATGCTCCACTTCCCCGTGGCCATCACGTGGCGGAGGTAGTCGCTCTTGGCCTCTTTCGTGGGGCAATCTGACGACACAGTTCACCCATCGACCCAGCGAATTTGGCCTTGAAGGTCTGCAATCTCCTGTTTGATGAGGGAGATGTCTATCGACGCCCTCTTGTCTTCACATTGGGTCGTTGGGTTTGTGTCCTTCTTGACAGCATCATAGAGGCTTGTTGAGTCTGTCACACAGATGAAGGGAATCCGTGCAACTTCTGAGCTGACATCACATGTCCTCGAGCCTCAAGGAGTAGGACCCGGTACCAGTGAACTGATCCAAGTCCACGAACAAGTGCCTGAGTCTCGGAGCTCAAGGTGTTCACTGTCCGGCGTTTCAGGCGGTAGCTTTTCCATGAAGCTAAGGTGACGCTTTGGAGCTCCTGGGACATGGGCAGGTCCTGATCGCAGAAGAAAGTGATCTCTCCCCCTTGACTATACAGCTTCATCAGCCGTTCAAACCCCGAATGGGTCATCTTTGCTTCTAACATCTCCCCCTCCTTCTGCTTGATGACAGTCGTTTTACCTGTCCATGGAGCGGAACTGAGCGTCTTCATACTGGAGGAGCTGTTCCATTCATCATCAATGATGATTGTCTTGCCGCCTTGATGGAGTTCAGACTGTCGATGAGTCTGGAGGTGGTGCGTGGGAGCCGCTTCTGGGTGAAAGGCCGTGAGGCGTGGAACGCGATGATGCCGAATCCATTGAGTGTCAGTTTCCTCCCACCAGTCCTCGGTGTCCTCTTCAAGGCAACGCCCAAACTCCCTTGCATTGCCCCAGGATGCGTCGGTGATGACTCCAGCCCGGAGTCGGTCCAATGGACTGGGCATGACTCGGATTTTCAATGGGGGTTCTTGTAGGAGTTCTTTGGCGACGGAGTTGGCCATGACAATGTCCTTGATCATGGGACGAGGAAAAGCTTGTTGGATGAGCGCGACCTTGCCGGCAATGTCTGCTCGCGTCTTGTTAGCGATTCACGCCATAGTCCCAAGTAGAGCTCGAAGTTGTTCCACTTCTGAGGCGGTGCATGGTGCATATCGACGTCTCTGTCGATCTTTGAGGAGAGAAATCTCTTGGACACGAGCGGTGGTGTAGAACTCCTGGTCAATGCGGATGGAACCATCCTCTACGGGAGTGAAGTTCTTTCCAACAAAGCGACCAGTGCGCCAGGTATACTTGCCCAATGTATACCGCTTGCGAAGGATTTTCATTTTCTCAAGCTGCCGGTCCGATCCTCCATGAAGTAGGTCGTCCGTGGCCAAGGCTATGATTCCATCGATGTCTCCAGGCTTAGAGGAATTCTCTTCGCTGTCAACTAAGAAGAGGCAAGGATCGATAATCGATCGTCGGTATCCCAGGTCCTGAGTGAGGAACTTGGTGATGTGGGAGTACCATGCTGATGGGCCATCCGTCAGTCAACCTGATCAGCTGGCATGGTGACGTTCCTGGGATTCCTTCTGGAGGTTGTGTGCAATATAGCGCACGTCCAATGGCATCTCCAGAGTGGAATGCCTGGGTGAAGTCGGCATACCCAGGTCGCCATTGTTTTGCCGCCAGCACCTGTGTGGTGAACACCACGGAATCTCGGTGTACTTGTGGGGCGCTGGTCTCGAGCTGAAGGAGATCGGGCTCGCTGACGCCTTGCATGACATGGCGATCGTCCGGAGAGGCATCAAGTACCAAGTCTGCTGGCATTCCTTGTTTTTGCTGCTTCGACTCTGGTTCTTCGCCATCAGGTGAGTGTGGAAGATTTTCAGGAGTTCGGGCCGAGACATTTTGCATGGTGGTAGGCTTTCCCACCGGGCCTCGGATGGTTCACTGCCACTCCGCTTTTGTTCTCGTTTGGTTCGTGTAGTCCAGGTTCTGTTGGGTTCAAATTCTCCGACAGGTCCATGGAGGCATCTTAGGCAGTGGAACCTCATAAGGCAGTTGACCTGGTGGTGATGGTTCTTCTTGGTCTGGGAGCACAGCTGGTGATTCTGGAGCCATTGATTCATGGGTTGTATTCGTTGTCGGGAGCAATGGAGTTTTCACCTCTGGACTGGTCCTTGGACTCTTCTGGAAGGGGAGGTTGTCTCTTGGTTTCTGAATGCTCCTCCTTGGTCTTCTGACGAACCCTTCTCGCTGGTGTAGCCTAGTCCCTCTGTGGCACTGTGAATGGCTCGTCTACACCAGTAAGGCGGAACCATGTCTTACCCGTCCATTCATGACCATGCTCGGGATGTCGAACTGTAACTTCATGATGTAGTTTCCATGAGGTCTCAACGGTCTGGACCGACCGATCAGGGAGGATCATTTCCACTCTCATCCAGTCATCAAGGTCTCCAAGCAGTACTGGTGGTTCTTCCAGAATATCATCTTAGGGCCGGAGTAGGGGGAGATTCATGGACACGAAGAAGGTATGGTCCTTGTCGAACCCAATAGTCTCTCTCCTCTGTCTCCTCAGGTGGTCGATCCTGTTCCTTGGAGAGGTCGATCATGCCCTTGATATCCGCAGTCTCGAATTGGCGTTTGGCATTTCCAATGCCATCCAACCAACCACTCATGGAGAGATTTTCTTCTTCGGCTGCAGGTCGTAGTTTCTCTGGAGCTGCTTTCACCAGATGGTGGTTGTGAGAGATCCAGACTGTGGTAGGTAGCTGGACAGCGATGACCCTCGTGTGTGTTGGTTGGTAGTCGAAATGAGGTCGTGGTCCATGAGTTGCCGCTGCTCGAACAGCCTGTTGACATTCAACTTCATGCATTCATGGGAGGCTGCCTTGCGGATGTCCATAGCCTGAGCGACCACGGCGTCCCCAGCAACAATGCGACTTTGCACAGCTAGATCACCACCTCCATCTGACATCAGCCCTCCCGGAATTCTTTGTTGGTACCCGAAGACACGTTGGGCAGGAGAGAAGCCCCCTCTAGTGAGTAATCTGTTCTTTGTGTGGCAAGTGATGTCGATGACCGTACGCGGCACTTCATACTCAGCCAATGAACGATTTGCTGCGCTATGCAAAAACTGTTTCTGCTTGTTTGAAAAATCTTGGAGAAAGACCCTCAATGCTCCCGTAGGCCCCAAATGACATTTTGCTTTTGAAACTGTAACCGCTCTGAAACCAGTGTCAGTCCAGCTTGTTCGTCCAATACCAGTTGGGCTCCGGAGTAAAGCAAAAATGGCAAACTGATCAGGAATGGGGCACTTTTGCAATGACCTTGTTCAAACACCGCAGGTTTGAGAAAACTCCCACGAACACCTAAACTGCTTGGAAGGACAGCCACTCGTTCAGTGATAGATGTTTGATGCACACTGCGGAATTGATGGTTCTCCGGAAAGAAGTGGATTGCCAGTTCACTGGGTAGGTATTGTTGATATTTGACCAGAGCCTCCCATCCAATTGCCATGCGTTGACAACCTGTATCTATAGCATATAGTTGCACACACCTCATCAAAACCTGGTTGGAGGACCGACATGTGGTAACACGGATGGGCGGGCACGCTCGTGTATATGAAGTCAGCCTGCCAAAAAGATCCATGCGGTCGGCTGTCGGGCTCAGGAGAGGCACTAGCTGCCTCAGAGTCCAGGTAGAGAAATCGGGGATCGGCCGCGTTGAGGACACTCTCGACTCTAGTGTCCGGTTTCATTGCAGCGATGACACTTTGTCCGCTTTTTCAATTCTTCAATAGAGACTTTGTAAGTCCCCGGACGAAGCGCTCTGTCACGACCAGCACCGAAGCCGCGGAGCTAAGTCACGATTCTTCTTAGCCTTCATGGCGCCCTGAAAAGTCCGGTTCTTGGGCTTGTCCCGGATCATGGCCATGAGGACTTCCTTCGCCTCGGTCTCCGTGATTTCAGTCATGGGGGCATTCTCAGTCTCATCCTCAGACATCTCCGCCAAGGCGTTCAGAAGGATGTCTGCCCCTTCGTCATCCACCTGATCGTCCTCCAGGTCATAGAGCTCTTCCGTCATGCCGGGATCTTGTCCTGGAGGTTGTGGATCTCAGTGGTGCCTTTCTTCTTTTCATTGCCAGGGGTGGAGAGGTCCAAGTCCGTCTCGTGGGTTCGGAGTCACTTTCACGTCAGCAACCTGCAGGGACCCACGAGTATAGTTCAACAAGAGTTTCGTTTGCTCACTTGATAGCTGCAGGGCATTCACCATCAGGAAGCCGAGGTGGCCTCCGGGGAGTGTGACCCCTTTTTCACGAACCTTACGAACGGCATCATCCCACCGCAGCGTGAAGTTTTTGGCTTGTTCACCTTTTGCGCGT